CGCAGCCCACACCTCCTGATGACCTCTCCCAGTGGTTTCATGTAGATGTTAAACAGCAAAGGGGACAAAATGGACGCCTGCGGTACTCCATGGCAAAGCTGCCATGGCGCAGAGCCATAGTCCCCCAGCACCACCTTCTGGAATTGGTCATTGAGATAGGAGCAGAACCACTGCAAAGCAGTGCCTCCGACCCCCAGTCCCGCTAGCCTATCCAGAAGGATACCATGGTCGATGGTATCGAAAGAGGTCCAGAAGAACCAACAGGGATGCACTCCCCCTGTCCTTCTCCCTGCACAGGTCATCGTACAGGGCAACCAAGGCAGATGCAGTACCGTACCCGGTTTCTGAAGCCGGACTGAAATGGGTCCAGAAAATCAGTTTCATCCAAGAGAGCTTGGAGTTGTCCCGCTACCACCCGCTCCAGCACCTTTCCCAGAAATGGGATGTTGGCCACTGGTCTATAATTAGTGGCCATCTCTGGATCCAGTGACGCTTTCTTTAGGACCGGTCAGACTACCGCCTCCTTTAAAGGAGCAGGTACCCGACCCTCCCTCAGAGAGGCGTTAGCCACTTCCAAGATCCAGATCCCAATTCCCAAATACTTGGAAGTATTTATTAACCAAGACGGGCAAGGGTCCAATAGGCAAGTGGTGGGACATACTTGTCCAAGTACCTTGTCCACATCATCAGGCCGCAATAACTGAAATTCATCCATTAATTTTGGACCAGACAGCAGCATTGGTGTCTCCCCAGAAACTTCTGAGTCACTAGTAGAGTCTAGCTCGTGATGAATCTGAGCGATTTTCTCCCTGAAATGCTTGGCAAAGTCGTCACAGCGGGCCTTCGAGGGTGGAACCAGATCTTTCTTAGGACCTGGACGAACCAGGCCTTGCACCACTCGAAAAAGCTCTGCCGGACGGCATTTTAAGGAGGCAATGGAAACGGAAAAGAAATTCTTTTTCGCCGGCCTCACCGCCACAGCATAGGACCCATAATGGGCTCTCAAGTGTGTTCAGTCAGATTCATCCCGTGATTTCCTCCACCTACGCTCTAGCCGTCTCCCAGCCTGCTTCATCGCCCGCAATTCAGGTGTATACCAGGGGGAAGAGTGGGCTATGCCCGGCGGGAGAGGACGCTTAGGAGCAATCGTGTCAACAGCCCTGGTCATCTCCCCATTCCACAGTTTGACCAGAGCCTCGACAGGAGCACTAGTCTTGTCAGCCAGAAACTCCCCCAGGGCCTTCAGGAATCCATCCGGATCCATCCGGCTCCAGGGGTGGACCCACACAATCGGGTCCGCACCCTTACAGAGGGAGAGGCCGCTCTTGAGCACAAACCTCACCAGGAAGTGATCTGACCATGACAGGGGTGTCAGACATAAATTCCTCACCCTCAGACCACCCTCTTCCTGCCCTGTCGAGAAAACCAGGTCCAGAGTGTGTCCATGTTCATGGGTCGGGCCGGTGACATGTTGAGACAGCCCCATGGCCGTCATGGAGGCCATGAAGTCCTGAGCCGCCCCGGTCAGACCAGTCTCGGCATGGAGATTGAAGTCCCCCAGGACCGACATCCTGCGGGTCCTCAACACCAGGTCTGAGACGATCTCCGCCAGCTCAGGCAGGGAGACTGTTGGGCAGAAGGGTGCACGGTACACCAACAGAATCCCCAATCTGTCTCGGTCACCCAACACCAAGTAGAGGCACTCCAGCCCTGGCCTCTAAGGGACTGGAAGTCCCGTGAGGGAGATGGAGGCTCGGTAAACCAAAGCAACCCCCCTCCCCTCTGGGCGTGAACGGTGCTGAACCAGATACCCAGGCAGGCACATTTGAGAGAGGGAGACATCCCCCCCCTCCCGCCCAGGTCTCTGTTATGCAAGCCAGGTCGGCCCCCTCATCGACAATCAAGTCATGGATGAGGGAAGATTTATTGTTGACCGACCTGGCATTGAGCAGCAGCACCGTCAGGCCTGAGGGGCGGTTGACAAGACTACCTGGAACCCTCTGGCTGGGGGCAAAACCAGAAGGAGGGACAGGTGTCAGCCATCTGTCCCTCCTTCTTCTACGCGGACACGTTAAGCCCCCACCGCTGTGCTGTCCATTGCCCATGACCACCCCAATGGCACCGCCCCTGCGCTCCCCAGGAAACACAAACGTTGACATGGCCAGGGACGACTCCATAAAAACAAATTAAAACAGATTAAAATACAATAAAATTATAAAAAACAATCAAAAACTCCCCATTCCCTCGGCGGTGCACCCTAGTCTGGCAGCAGCGACTGCGCAGCGCGGCAGGTAGACCGAGCCACAGAATGCGGCTGATGTCTGGGGGGGCGGAGGGAGCTCCAAGCCTGCCCTGCGCCAGGCCAGTTCTGGCGGGTTAAACTGGTGCCCGCCCATGCGCCCCACCCCAAACCAGCGTCGCTCGCACCAGCACCGGCAGGGGGGGAGCAGGGAGGGGAGCGGAAACCTGTCCGGTGGCAAGATGGCGGCACCCTCCTCCACGCCATCGGTGGCGGGCCTGGCGTGGCCCTGGCATCCTCCGTGCTCTTTTTATCCATTGAAAGAGTAAATGAAAAATCCTTGACAATGGTGTTGCCTTGTGCAATTTTTCTTCTGTTTCCTTGATAGCAAGAAGAGATAACTGCACCCTCTCTTTATGAAGAATAGGTAATGAACGTTAATTAAAACTGGCCCAAGGGAAGTGACTGGCTGTATCCCAAGCTGTATCCTAAAATGTGCAGGTCTGGAAAGTGTTTGGATTGATTAACCAAATAGCAAACATGGAGTGGCTTTCTAACATCCTGTCCTTCCTGTACCTTAAGGTATTCCTTGCATCCCAATATGGGAGGAGGCTGGTTAGGATGTGTGAAAGGACCTTTATGCTGCTACATTCTGGTTGTACAATTCCCTTCTGTTGGAAATGAATTTCTTTAACTTTCAAAAATGGCGATATTGTCACAAAGTTGCTGAAACTCTTCCAGCAGTAAGACACTTCTGAGGCCTTCTGCCCTTATTTTTTCTAGGTAAGATGGACTGAAATGTGAACCCAATCTGTTTTCAGTGCAATGTAAGTTAGCAGTACTGCTGGGATTCCAATACACTAATGTAACTAATAAGGTGTAAGAACTGGTTTGTTTGCTTGCTTGCTTCTTTCCTTTGTTTTACTAAAACCCAAATCCCTTTGTTCCTCCTCTGAGTAACTATAAACACATTAAGAGACTTTCAAAGGATTTTTTCTAGTCTTATAATATTTACCTTCTCACAACTGCCTACTATGGTTCCTAAATGCAAAATAATTATGTTTACAGTTGGAGTTAGTGGTTTTGAGTGCAGCCTATGCCAATTCCAGATTTACTCTTTTTTAGCATTATCACTCATCTTCAATATTTTCTAGAGTTTCATAGTACCATCTGAAGGAAACTGGGAGTAAATTGGGTTTGGGAACTAGCAGTTTCTCTGAATAACCCATATTTCTGGGATTATGTTAGATGTTAGAACAGTGTAGAAGAGTACAGTGAATATAACTATCACCATAGGAATACTGCACTGTGTCACACAACTACACAATTGCACTATTATACAATGCATACAATTCAAAACACAGTCTAAAGGAAAATGGTACAGAGTAAACATTAACTGTTTCAACATTAAAGTCATCTTGCAACATTCTGGTGATCAGAGTAAATCCTTTGGAAGAGTAGCATATGTCAAAAGAGAGACAGACTAAACTAAAAATCCAGGTGGAATTTCTGCCGCAGCCCTAGATTGCCTCTTGAACAGCAAGCTCACATAAGCTCTCATTACGGTTTCTGTAATTCCACACTGAATTACTAAAGCTCAGTATGCTGTTGCATTCAGTTTCATGACTCTCTGAGGCTACTGCATCACTGTATTTTATGGCAGTTGGCATCGATGTAACAGAAGGCAAGGCAATTCTACTGGTACTTAATATGGCAAAACATTGGGAAAAGAGCAGATTCATATTCTCAGATCATTGCATTAGGGGGACAATTTGGACTAAAGTTCATCAACCACCATTTATTACAGCAACTCCACAGATAAGGATGCAGTCATGGATTTCATAAACTCAGGAGAGAAACTAACTTGGTTTCATGCTTGGTTTTCAAGACTTATGCAGTAGGAACATAGGAATTTACCTTCTATAAGGTTGAACTATTTGTCCCTCTAGCCTAGCTTTGTCTACTATGATTGGCAGCAGCTCTTGGTTGTTAGAGATTTGAGACAAATTTTACTGAAATAAAAACCTGAATTGTCCCCTGCTTTTACTAACACAACACTACACATGCCAACTGAAAAGCAGATTCCATTATAAGGTAGCAAACATCTGAGCCTATTCATCCAGAATAGGGTTCCAAATTGGGCACTACTTGGAATCTTTCTGACAGTGCCAAATATCTTGTTTGCAACTAAAAGGGAAAAACAAACACTGAGTAATGATCCCAGCTCCATGTGAAGTATAAACCAGCAAAACAGTTTTCTACTTCTTCTTGCAAACAAGAAAGGTGATTATGTTTTGTCTTCTGTTAGGATTTATCTGGGAAGTGGCTTCTCCACCTGGCTTGAAAACATTAGAGTTCTGCATAAAGACGTGTGAGTTTGTTTCCCTGGGATAACCCAGTGGTAAACACCAGATGTTAGCCAAGCACACTGCACACAATCTAGCGCTTTTGTGTATATTGGAGAGCACCGACTGTCCATTCCATTCCCATAGGAGGCATCTGCAGAACCCATAGCCCCTTTGAATCACCTTGTAGGAATGGAATATGTAACAGGGCAATGTAGCATTCATATCTACATTGACAGATTGTATATATGACAGATTGATTCTGCTTAGTCCCTTCAATCAGGGTCTTTAGAGATCAGGCCAACTCTCAAGTTTCTATGTGGTTTTAGGAAACAAAACCTTGTAAAGTTATGCAGAATAAATAGTCTAAACTTTGGAACCAAACAGACAGAGAAACATAGTTAAATTGGACTTACAATGCAGCTCTATCCTTATGAAGTCTTTGATCCCCAGATTCTCTAGAAATACACCAGAGGAAGCTGTAGTCTTAAAGAAAAAGGACACATCTGCACTGAGTTCTCCATGGAAAGTGGGGAAATGAAGATATGAGGCCTCAGTGTTGAAGGAAGCTGCATTCCAAAACTCCCCTGATTATTGAGAAAAAAGTTAGAAAACAGGGTTACTCATGTCTTAAAATGAAACAAAAGCAATACATTAGTTAGTCAGAAGAGTTATATTCTCCTCCCTTGCAACTGTCTGTAGGTCTTACTCCATGAGAATTAAGTTCCTGCAAGGTAATAAACTGCTTTGGACCAGGATAATTGAAAGATGACCTTCTCCTGTATAAGCTGATGCACTTGCTTAAATCATCTGCAAAAATCCCTCTTCTGCATCCTGCCACCAGTAGCAATGCAGGTGGTGGGTAGGCAGGCTGAGCTTTCTCGGATGCTTCATTCTCATTAAGGAGTGCGAGGCACATCCTGACCTACTTTGGTAGGTTTTTGGTTAAATTGGGGGGGTGGGGGGGGACTTGGATTCACAATATTTACAAATCTGAATGACTCCTTCTTTGCACTACTTTCTGCTGCTGTTTCTGTTTCCTTGTTAATTTTGTAATAGCGCTGTGGTTCTGCTTTTATAGCCTGCTTTATTGACGAGCTTGTATTGCTTTGAACTTCGATTGCTTGATAGCTACCTTGCAGATCCCCCTCAGGACTGAAGAATAGGCAATAAATACTGTAATTAATAAATAAGTGTGTGTGTGTGTATTCATGCTCCAGTTTTCCAGGTGACTCATTCTGGATGCAATTCAATATAAGCAACCCTAGCAGTGCTGATGCAACGCCATGTTTCATGGCATTCTGTTGATGCAGCTTCTCCTGACGCTTGTCCTAAGAATGTGATTCATTGAGACTCCTGGACTGTCCTATTGATAGCTCTCAATTACATGAAATAACCAATAGCTTTTGTAGCTCCTCTGCTTCCTAATTAGCAGATATTTTAGTGAACATTGATCTTCTCTTAAACCTTTTTAATAGAGCTCAGGCCTAGCAATGATGAGCTTGACACTATGCCATACTTTTAAATATACCTTGTTATTTCTTACTAATTCCTTACAGTTGTATCTGTCATTTTCATAAGCTTTAGTGCTTACTGAATCAAATTAGACAATATTTTCCAATGAATGCAAATGCATTTTCTCCTAAAAAATCCCAAGAATTCTTTCTTTCTTTCAAGTAGCCTTCAAAATAAATTAATACTGATATTAGAATTTAAAAATATCAGTATAGGATTCCAGTTATAAATGTTGTGTAATAAGGAAGTGGAAAAGGGAGCATATGCCACATAATAGAATAGTAATAAAAATGTAGTACAAGATGGAATGAACTGGTTCTGCATAAGGCCATTTTCACATTCCCCATATATGTTTGTATGCATATTTTGCTAAATGTTTCTTTTCAGAATTGTCTTGAATTTCCCTTGTACCGGAGGAATGGCTCCATGCACTGGGCCTGCTGTGGGAAGCATAGATGTTATACTCATGTGTATGTAGACTTCCGTAAACCCTGGATGGCCAGTGACACCAAGTTGCCATAATTTCCATTTTATGAAAATAAGAAGGGTTACACTGTAATTACAAACCATCTGTATAACAGCTCTTTAGGAAAGCTGTTAGGATGCAGGTGAGCAGTAGTCCTTCTCTACTAGTAGCATCCATTTCTTGGAGGCCCATCTTTATGGAACTCTTCCAAATCTGCCAGTTAAGGTGTCATTTCTTCACTGATAAAATAACATTTCTTGGCTTTTCAGTAGTAGCCACCTGACTGTGCAATGTCATGGCTAGAGCAAAGTTTAGGCTTTGCTTAGGAAGTTTAGGAATCTTCCAAGTGTGTACACCCCATCAGGGGCTCATTGACAAAGGCCCCATAGATTTGTTTCACTTCCTCACCATAAGAATCAGCTCGCTCTCTTGATCTGGCTGAGAAAACAGCAGTGGTAAGAAGGATGAGATGGTTAATTATTTGTTTACAGTATTGGGTTAGAATTTTAGACAAAAAGCTCCTGAGTCAGCTCACAAAGAAAGGAACCAAGACACTGACTACTGGCAATCTGTCTGTTAAACAACCAAGTGGTGCCAGTGGTAGGAAAGGGGATGAGGCTGCTGAGAAGGTAGGAGGAAAGGTATCCATTAGGCATGTCTTTCCCAAAGGCCCTCCAGGATGTTGGCATTATGGAATGCTCTCCCAAGAGGTGCGTACCTGGTGCCTTCATTGCCGTCCTTTTCTTACCAGGTTAGAACCTAGATATTTTGTTGTGCCTTTTGGTCAGTTTTCAGAATCATATTTGTATGTTCCTAGAACTTTGCAATGGTGCTGGCTGTTAACTTTGGGCTCATTTTGTTTTAAACTATACTTATCTTGTGTTTTACTCCATTAAAGTGGTTTCTATGTTTTTAAGTTTGGCTGGTGAGCTGCCCCGAGAGCTTTACTTATTGGGTGGTATAATAAGTAAATCAATCTTTTAAAATGTAGGCCTAATGTCGGGGCAAGGTTCTTGAGGTTTTTCTTTGCTCGTGGGTACCATTAAGAAATGTTGCTGTACGACCTGTGTAAGAAAATGGAATATAATAGCACAGTAAAGCTGATGCAATGCTTTACTATACATCGTGTGTGAAAAGCATTAGCAAAGTAATGACCTGTGGGGCCTTTCCCATTTTTCAAACAGTTATGAATATAATGAATGCTGTCAACCATTCTCATTGAAATGTGATGCAAAGTATATTCTTTTGTCCCACACATAGTTAGTGGATGCAAGGAGCCAGTGCTTCTAACCTCTCCTCATTTGCTGTGCAAAGCGGTGTTATTCTGTGTGTTTGACATCTATACAGAATTCATGTCAATGGAGACACTTTACTTGCTATAAATTATAAATTTATAGTACTATAAACTGCAACTGCTTTACAAAGAGGAATGAGCCTCTTACAGAAGGATGCCCCTCTCCAGGCTACTCTCATGTTCCCAGGCTGCTTGGAGACACATTCTCAGTATCTATTGAGTAGCAGATAATATTTCCTCTCTTTGCCCTATCCCTAGATAATAATGCTGATAATCTGGCAGTCTGAAAGCTTTAGAGATAAACCTACTCTTAGTACATCAACTGCAAGTTGCATACCTGAGAGATGTCTCAGCATGCAGACAGACAATAAAATTTAAAATAGGTAAAAGCAGGAAGATAGATGCTTAACTGCCCATGCTGAACGCTCTTGTTTCTTTTGTCTCTGTATCAGCCCAGATGAATCAGGCTTTTTAAGTACTATGAATGTCAGGAAAACCTGCGTTACCCAGGATGATCGTGGGACAGAAATAAGGAAATTCAGTGGGAAATTTGGCTATGCACTTTGGAATCTAGATGGGAATTATTATTATTCCTGTACATTATTTACATAAGTATTTCAAATTATTATTACCTGGGAAAAATGGAACATTGCATTCATTTAAAATGTGGATGTCAGTGCTCATGTTATTGCTGTTAACTAGCTTTTATGGTAAAATGCCACCCCAAGTTCTAATATCCAATGGGTGGGCATAAAAACACTCCCGAATCTTCCTGTGCTCGTGTAGTCCAAATATGCACTGGTGCAACATTACTCTTGGTCGCGTGGGCAGCTACCAAATGGCATATGGGAACTTGGCTGGATGCCATGGAAGGCCCTGGCTGAAAATACAGGCAACGAGGGGCCAACACTTCTCCAGGTAAGCCAGTGGTCCTTGAAGCACACATTAGGACTAGCTATCCCATGACATTTTTGAAGAGTCAGATTCGGATCCCATACCTTCTTGAGCTACCTCTGCAGAGGTGTTGGGCTCAATTTTTACATCAGGTTACTGTTAGAGTACTTGGTTTTACTAGGTACTCACAGAAGTTTATTCACACAAGGCAAACTTTTTCTCTTTCCATTCTGCCTGTCAACTCATTCCTCCCTGAAATATAGTTATTTTATTTCTCTCTCTCATGCATGCATCCCCCCAGTTAGCCATCTTCCATACATTCATTTACACACTCTTAGATGATGGTGAGAAAATGTGCTTTGATTTGATGATGATGATGAAGAATATTGGATGCGTAAGGAGTCCCAAGACACCCTGGAGTTCATTGTCTACCCTTTTGAACTAAAGCAATATTAAGGGGGGAGGAAATAGGGTGGCTAGTCCAGACTCAGTTATGCTAAGAAGTAAGTGAAAGTAGCACTACTATTGGATTTTAGCACTGAACTAAAATATCATAGAACTTCTGAGAACATGATATGGATTTTTCCAGAAGACTTAGATTTTTCTTTTTACATTTATATAAATAAACAGGTAAAATAAACAAACATGGACACTGTTTTCTGATTTTACTTATCAAGGAACTGTGTATCAAATGGATACAAGAAGGCCCCCTATGGCTTCTGCATAAGTCTGGCATTGTTATCTGTAAAAACACGTTTGCATGAAGGATCTTATTTGAAAGGGCTAGACTTTAGTTCCTCAGAGCAAAAAAGTGCAAGAAAGAAAGTCCGATTTGCTATAAATAGTACTGCATCCACATCTACCCAGTAAGAAGTAATTTGCTATTTATATGCAACAAAACATTTGCTTTCATGATTCAAAGGCTCAGTAAAAAAGAACATTAATTAATTCTCATTTTTTGACAATTTAGAAATCAAATGCAAACAGAAATGGATACAAAAGAAAACATAAGCCAGGAAAATTATTGGTTTTGAAAGCTGTCCAACTCACTACAAAAGCGTCTTTCACTGAAACCTCCTATCTGCAAAAAGTCATTATGACATTCCAGTGTTGGAATCACAGTACAAATTTGTTTGTTTCTTATTTGCAAGAATGCTATTGTAAATACTGTTATGTGATTAATCATAAACGTGCTTGTGTGTAAAAGTCCAGAGGGGATGTAAAAAAAATAATGGTGGTACTGAATCAATACAACCATACAGCGCAGGCTTCTAGCAAGGGACAATTTTCAGTCTTTATGCTGCAGATCAACTGGCAAAATATTATTGACAGTCTTCTAGCCAAAGAGTTAAAAACAAAACAATCTTGAATCTGGGTTGTAATATAATGTTAAAGCAGAGAAAATGGAATAAGGAAATCTAAGTTTTATTCTGAAACATAGGGATCTTCTGTGACAGAAAAGAACTTCTGATAATAGCTTATCCATTTTCCACTTTGTTGGCTCATTTCTCTAAAGGATGTTAGGAGTTTATTTCATCAGCCAGGCACAAGCACCCTGCGTGTGTTCTTGCCTTCTCTTCTTCCCTTGCACTTCAGCTCCAGCACTTTACTGACAGAATTCCTGTTTATTAAACTGAGATTAATCCAGTTAGGATGCTGTGGCGAAGTTTTGTTTTACACAAGCCACAATACAAGGACAAAAGCTTGCATGCAGGGGAAACAGCTGGGGGGACCTTGCAGACTCTGTGCTCAGTTTTGGCTAGAGAAACCATGGCAGCTTTATCGAACTGTGGACATTGCATTTCAACAGAGCCCTTATGTCCCAGAAATGTAACTTTGATCAGGGGCCTAACTCTGCAGCAGCAGCAGATTGTATGAAAGGCTGAATGCCTGGCGAGGGCTTAGCACATGGAGTTGGTGGAGTTGGCAGCAAAGGGGGCCAAGAGCCCTGATGAGATCATGATGGCCACTGAAAGCAGGGCAGGGAGAGGAAATTGGAGGTCCCGCCAATGAATCGCTAGGTGTTTTCCTGATGAATGGATGTTTTGCTGGTCTTGAATGAATGGGTGATCTGACATGCAATACATAAATAAGATATAATAGAATTGTAATATTCTTATATACTTAGTCTGTCTCTATATGTCTTGGTCTGGGGAAAGAAGCCACAGAAGATAACTACATTATCATCATCATCACCATCATGGTATACCTGACAATATCAAACTATGTGTAGGTTTTACTTCAAACTCACAAAGTCAAGCTTCCTAATTCAAAGGACTGCAGAGATATGGTACAGTCCTCCCACAGCTGTAGCCATTGTCTTTGAATGTTCCCATACATTATAATCTTTCTACGCAAGTTTAAAAAAAACAAACTAGAAAATGAAAGGCATCCATGTGCTTAACTGATCCCTATATTTTCTTTGCATATTCAGGGATTTTAGACATATGGACTCATTCATAATAGAAATGGGACAGCCCCATATCATTGTGGGATGATGTTTGAATAATCTCTGAAGTAATCTAAGGAGCAAGGCTAACTTTGAAATATAGAATGAAATTATACTATAAAGGAGAGGAAATATACTTTGAAGAGCAGAGCCAGATAAATACCCTTTGAATAGCAAAAAACATTGGTATTTTTACCCGACTAGCACTGCTTAAACAGGTTTTAGGACATTATTATTTATAGAGCTATTTAGCTTTTCTGTTTTCCTTAAACAGGTCTTTTATTATATAAGCACATTTCAGCTTGCTTATTAGAGCCAGGAGATTACACAGGTTCTCCCTTCCAAAAGATTTAATGGAGCCTTTGGTGTTTGGGTCAGAAATGGAAGTAAACATTCTTTCACTCCATCTTCTGAATAGTGTCCTGGTGAACAATTATGGGGACAAGGATTTATGTGTGTTAAAAATAATAAAGAATATGAGTCATATGAGGATGAATTATTTTAGTGCAGTAATATAATTTGGTCTTTGAGAGCAGGAGCAACAGAAAGAAGCAGGAATCTCTGGTGAGCACTCAAACCAGGATCGTGAGCCCAACAATATCCATTTTTCTTTGTTGACAATAGTTCAGGGTAATGTAGACCTCTTTTCCCTATATGATTCTATTTGCATTGTTTGGCAGAGTCCAAAGGAAGAAGGAAACCAATGCTGTTCTACTGTGTGTAGCTGACAGGCAATTTAAGAAACCTTTTATTAAAACCCTGAAGTTGTAGGAATATTAACCTGCATATGTTCCCCCTAATTTATGAAATGCTTTGCATTTCTCTGCAGAAGACCACTTGCTAAATTCGTCATTGTCTTGTTTTAGCATTACAAAATTAATTCCATATTTTAACAACAATTGTTGGAAATTATTCAAAAATAACTGACAGCCAATAACCAATGGAAATGAGTAACTAATTTATGTAGATACTTTCAAATCAAATCCATTCATGAAAGAAATAAGTAGTTTTTGAACACCTCTAAGCAAATTCACTTTAAAGGGAGTCCCACTGAATTTAAGGAAGTTCACTGTGAAGTTTCTGTGCACAGAATTGCAGCTTGAGAGTTGTTAGGCAAGGTGAAGTTTGCTTTGTAGATCCTCTGCTGCAAAGCTCATCTTTAGGGCAGGGAGCAGCTTTTTGGGTGGCTTTATCACCATCCACCATCCTGCCTATCAAGATCCACTTGGTATCTATAGCACAGCGGGCCCACCCAGCCTCCTTGCATGGGCAAAACACCCCCCCCTTCCCTGACTGATCCTTCTACCTCTGGTAATGCTGTAGCAGTGCCATATGGGGTGGTAGAAACACCCCATTGGGCCGTCACCTGCACCCAGCTACTAAGGAGCCAATCTGGAGGTACGGATTATATTGGTGCATTCACCTTTTTTCCTTATAGCAAAAGGGGAATATGGCCTATAAGGACCATGAGTGAATGAAGAGGGAAAAAGTCAAGAACACCTTGCTCAGTTGGCTGAATGGGTTCTAGATATTTATGGAGGTTATGGAACAGGAACAGTAGAAAGCATGCTAGGCCACATGAAGGTGGTGGCTAGACATCTACATACTTTGGTTCAATATGCTCCCACAGCATTTGGAAGGAGGGTGGAAACCTTTGGAGCTTAAATAGGACCAAGAAGAAAGTGAACAGAGGAGTCAAATTGGAATTTGCAGATCAGCAGGTTAGAGTACCCTTATACTCTGAAATCCGTCCATCTCAGGTATCACTTTTCCAGGCCAATAGCATTCATCTGTCTGACACAGGAAGCATCCTTTTACAAGATCTTCAGGTGGGGATACAGGATTTCATCCAGGACAGGTACGAATAGAAAGCCAGGGCTGAGGCTTGCCCCCTTCTTTTGCAGGGATGTGTAGGATTTTCATGTGTAGGCTTCGGTGCATGCTCTTAGGGTGATTAGCAAGAACAGAAGCCTGCTGTTCACGGGATGTATGGCCTATGAGCTGGGAGACGGTCTGACTTTGAGATTAACCAGCCTCCCCAGCTTCAAGATGCGTTGCAGAAAGTGGGGGTAACATAGGCACCTCCTTTACACTGATGGACAACTCTGGTAAAGGTTAAGGTTTCCCTTGCTCTTAGTCTGAGACTGAGTAGCTCATCTGCAAGGCAGGCAAGTGGCCTTCCAGGTATGAGAGGCATCCCTCCACTTGCACATACAGACTGGGGGTGGGGTGGGATGACATTCCCTTGTTAAATAAATGAAAAGGCCTAAGTTCAGCCAAAGTCTGGTGTCCATGTCATTCTTTCCTTTGCCTCCTCTCTGTCTGTAAATGAAGCAAAAGACTAGAACAGGAGTACACACACTTAGTGGGAAAAAGCCAGCAAGAAGGCATGTGCTATTAATTCCTAATTGCAAAATTGGCATTTATGTATGTGAATACAAGATATTATTCCATATGCAGATTTTTGCACATGTTGCAGTTCATATTCAGAATGAAGGATGCATTAAAGAGTGCTGAACTCCAGCACAATTTAATTTTATCAAATTTACCCTCTGGTAAATATCCCCTTTTCATTAAGAACATAAAAAGAACCATGCTGAATGAGACTGGAGGTCCATCTAGTACAACATTCTGCTCATAGAGTGGTTGACCAGCTTGTGGATGGGACGTCCACAAGCAGGACACAAGAGTTAAGACACAATTTCTAGTATTACAATAGGAGCAAAACCCTCCCCCTATTTACTTTCTCCACACCATCTATAATTCTGTACACTTCTAACACGTCTTGCCTCATTTTCTCCCAGCAGTTGTAACCCTTCCCCATGCAGGAGTTGCTCTAGCTCCTTGGTAACTCTGGCTGCCCTTTTCTGCACCTTTCCATGCACACAATATCACTGCCTGAAATTGTGCACAAGACTGCCAAGTGTGAGTACATCATAAGGGCCATATGATACTGGCCCTTTTACTTTGGATTCCTACCCAAATTATGCCCAATGCTTTTTCACAGAAGCCACATACTGGGTTGACCTTTTCATCAAGCTGCCCCCCACAATTCTAATATCTCTTTCTTAGCCAATCACCACTACCTTGGATCATATGAATAATTGGGATTTGTTTGCACCAAATGCATCACTGTATACTTGCTTATATGGAACCACATTTATTTAATACATTTCCATTTCAGCACATTAACCCATATTGGTATTTTGGCCCTGCTGCCTGAGCATTCAACTCCATCTGCTCCTAGAATGTGAATTCTGAGAGTTTCTCCAAAACTTAATTTGGTCTTAGGCTGAAAGTGTCTTCCCACTTAGAGCCAAACTACATGGTGCTTTAGTAATGCAGCTAGCTGGTATGTCATTATCTTTACTCAAAGGTACGTATGTGCTCCCCAAGCTGGTCTTTAGTGCCAGATAGTCCCTAGAATTAATCCACCAATAAATCCTACTGAGTACAAAGTTTGGCTGCACAGTTGCTTCCTTCTCTGCTGTTTGTCCACATGTAGATGTGAATGCTATTGCCATTTTTAAGTCAAAGGCACATTTTAGCCAGTGTAATTTTTTGCATTTGCATTGCTTATTGGAAATGCAAAAATAAAATAATAAAGTTGGTGGACAGGCATGAAAAAATTCTCAGGCTTTCACAGAAAGGATGCTCAAGTGCTGAGACCCAACAAGTCACCACATCAAGTGAAGCCGGGAAAGCCCTACGTGAATTGTGCATCCATGGGTAACAGAAGGGAGGTGATGGATGTTTATAGAATAACATTACTTACTATCACCCTGGCAAAGCAAAGGCCCAAGTTTGTAAGCTGCTTCAGAACTGGGTCGGTCTGTATCTGTGATGACAAGTTCAGTTACTGGCAGGTGATCCTTATAGGACAGGAGTCCTGTATCATTAACCCTAGAGCATGTAAAGAAACACAGTTTTAAATAGTGCTGCAAACACAACCATCCACTTTCTACATAATTTGCATAAAGGAACATTACTGTCTTTGTGATTACTGTATGTGCTGAATAGCCACATTTTGATCAGATGCAGATGGAACTTGTTATCCAAATGGCAACAGATTATTTATAGCGCAGGTCTGAATCAGTGCTTTTCCCCAACATAAAAAATATATCATGTATCAAAATGAAACCATCAGAGCTAAATTTGGAATTGTGCCTATCTTTATGTAAGCATGACATTTTCTGCATGACTAGGAACTTAATTGCCCTCTTTAAACAGGTTAGTCAATTTGTCTGGAAGGAATAAGTGATGTGCTGAGAAAACATTCCCTGTCTTTAACAGAGACAGATATCAGTCTAGCCTAGGAAGTATATAAATTTAATAAAATAAATGTATATGATCACATGGGTTGATTCCAGTTTCTTCAGTCCTCAATTTAAAACAGCAAAAATATTGCCCACTTCCAAGATTGTAGTTTGATAAGGAGAGCAAAGATGTTCGGCATTAAACTTCAGCTGCAGAATTTGGGGTGTGACCCCAAAATGTGTGTGCATTTTCTCCCCAGAAGGCAGTTGTCTTCTCTAATCATGTTGTGCAGATAGATCAGTGAATCAGACCATTGGTCCATCCAGCCCCATGCTGTGGGCACTGATGGGCAGTGACTCTTCAGGGTCTCAGATAGAAGACTTCCCCATCCCTGCTGGAAGATGTTCCAGAGATTCACCCTGGGAGTTTTAGCATGCAGAGTATGTGTTCTGCAGCACTGAGCTACAAACTTTCCCATTCACCATCTGAAACAGATCACTGAAGTGAGATAAAAAGGCTGCAACGGTTACGTTTCTTACTCTCTGGCTGGAAGAATCTTACAACTGGAGTTCTTTAACGCAGGCAGTAATAGATGTTTGAAGAAAAGCTATGAACCTTTGGGGGGAAAAAACTTATTCCATTTTTACTCCTTTTGCTATCTTTTTAAAAAAATGTCTTTCCCTCTGACCTCTAGTTAATGTTGAAATGTCATTTGGACATTTCATCTGAACCTCATAATATCCAGTTGCTCTGTCTATAGGTTCTTCATTATAAGGAGATGCTCAGCTTCCCACTAGGTACTGAGAGCATTTCTTAGTGCTGGTCAAGTGGAAGGGATAGAATCAGAAAGAAATTTTAAGTCAACTGAACTAATTCATAACTTTCCAATGTATGTAGATCAGAACACACTTATCCCTCAGATTGTGCATGGGTCTACATTTTGTGATGCCTTCTCAAAAATGGTATACATAAATGCATATATATATTAGTGGAAATTGCATACAAAATGCATAAGTTTGGGGAAACTGTTAAAATAATGTGAATTTCTTCATGTTCTAGCTAATGCAGAAATTGGATGGAACCCACAGGATGCATTAGTCAGTTCCATCCAAAACTGATATGGATCAGAATGACTGGTCCATTGAACCTTAGTGAGGAGTATAAATGGTAAGTGATGGTGGGTTAGCTATCATAGATTTAGTATGAGCTTTATAGCCACCTCAACCTCTAGACAACCAGCTCAGAACCTCAAAAAGCACAGTAAATAGAGCTGAGCTATGTGACAGAAAAGAGCATTGACATAACATTGCTGGGATAGCAGGAAGCAACTGCTGGGACCTATAGAAGCAGGTCCATATATTTTTGACTTAGCTCCTTGGAAGGCACCCCCAAGATCATTTCATAGAAAATAAAATCTGGTAACATCTTCTGGTGAGTAGCATCTGTCAGCAACCATGGAGATCTGTTTAACATTCAACTTTGAACTTCTAATGAACAAAATTAATTAAAACAGTCACCACTCGTTTCTGTCAGCATCACAGTTACAGTCATGCTGGGAATCAATGCAGCTTCCTTGTATTCCACATGCACATTTTTGAACATCTGGCATGGAACCTCCCCAGTAAGTCTGCGTCTCATTGATTTTTCCAATCCACCAGCTGAATGGAATTCCATCTACAAGACAAGTTAGGAAATATTAATGCTTGTTGGAATTCCATGAAAAAAGTTTTGAAAATTGTTTTCACTTCTTTCAAGCCATAATAGATTTTCCATTTTAATGTTTCATAATCATGAACTAACTTACTGTCAAGCTTTCTGCTTACTTTTCTGCAGAAAGAGAACGAGTAGTCCCTAAATCAGTCAGGCATGTTATTAGAATCATTTATCTTAAGCAGACCACTTATGCAATTTCCTTCACAACAGTATATGAAAAAGAGATGCCCTCATCCAAAAAGTACAGGTAATTTATTCCGAGAAGCAAAGATCAATAGAAGATCTAGGATCTACAAGTGAGGGAATTAGGAAAGTGAGAGTGATCTGAAAAAGGCCTCATCTTGATAATAAGTGTAATAATAATACCTGGTTAGTAGTAATAGGCATAATAAAATGAAGAGTAATGAGCATATACTAAGCAAGTAGAACCATTTGGTGTTGAGGAAATTGGGAATGTCAAATTATGCAGCAAATGGTTTGCAGATTTGCCTATGTTAATTTCTGTAGTTTGTGACAGTTCTGATTTATCCACTGACAAGGTGCAACTTCTCATACTCCGATCTGTCCTCATCAGAGTCTGCAGTAAGAAAGGGAGCACTGGGTATCTCTAATTCTCCAGCGCTGTACATTATGGCAAAAGATGCTGCCAGCTAAACAGAGCGGTAAATGCACAAAATATACAGAAAGGGAGAATTACTAAAGCATTCGAAGCGTGAAGATAATCCATCTTAAAAGAGAGGGATGGAAAGTGAACTTTGCACTGAATGCAAAAGTCAAGACACTGAAGGAAAATAATGCACTAATAAATTGTACAGCAACACATGGATGGTCTCTGCTTTTGTTCACTAGGAGCATTCAAGCTTCCCACCACAACTGCACCAGTCCACCCAAGAATATGGAACTTGACTCTCCCTTTTTCTTACCAACAACTGTTAATGCTGATTTTACTCTACCACCCTCAGCCCTTCTTTCAGTTCTCTCAGCCACCCTAGCAAGCTAGCAGCTTGCAACACATTGACTCTTTATGCAACTGCCAGTCCAGCAGACATCCAAGAAAGGAAGAAAATATTATCCAGGCACTGGAACTGGGATGGTGTGGCCCAATTTAGAAGATCCACAATTATAAGACCTCTCCAGTGTTTTGACTTTGCAACTTATCCAATAAAAGAAGAGGGGGAATATGGAAAATGGCTGTATAATTCATGAACAATTGTTTTAAAATTGCATGCGTACACGCACACACACGCCACTATCTAGTAGCTCAGGAGAGCAACCACTGTACCTGAAGCACACCCCAAAGTTGGCCATTTCTTTTGATAAATTGGGGGAAAGGGTATGACGGGCTACATAAAGGATCTGAAATATTTAGAAATCATATTGTGACTTTGGAACTTATGCCTCTTTGAAATCAGTCATGTGCTACAGTCAAAAGCATGCTGATCAACAGAGCTCATGTATACCTATTAGACGTGCTCATTAGATGAACACGACACTGAATAAATAGCAGTTTCCTGGAACATTTCTTTTGCTTTCTTTCCTATACCTCTGCAGCCTGAGATGAGAAAGTATAAAACTCCAGCCCTTGTCAAATGTGTTGTCTGCCAGTTGAACAGGCAAGAACTGGTGGATGGAATATCATATGAAATACTGCCTTTTCTATGGAGGTTTCAGTAAAATAAAAATTAACTCTGAGCAAGTAGGTGTTGACTGAGCAACAAACAGCAACGGAGGTAGACTGGGACTGGCTATAATTGCTTATTATGATATTGGGGAAAACATGGTTTGGCAAACAACGCTTGCAGTTTGGGTGACTGTAGTCTTGGATGGCTGGGGAGTTTTCACACAAAAGGGGGATCCCACAGGATACATAATCCAGTGATCTAAAAGTAATCAATGATCATAGATCAAAGCTAGAAACGGTCCTCTGGAGGGGAATAGTCAAGCCATCCTAGTCCTCTGCCTGAAAACTGGGATTATGTTGTGTGATGATGAGGGTCTGTAATGGAAGTTTAACAAGTGGTACTACCCTGACTTTAATGCCAAGCCAGTCTAAATTAGTGCAAAGACTTCAGCAAAAACCAAATGTAATATAATGAAAAATATAATAAACTTCTTTCCTACTCGATTTATGAAGTTTGATTCTTTGGCTTACAGTAATAGCAAATAGTCCCAGTCCCTTGCCAGAAATAAAAATGTTGGGGATGGGCAAATTTGTCAAGATTCATTCTGCTCACTTTCTCATTTTTTTTCTTAAATCCAGTCTGGCCAATTTCTCCATCAGTTTGCAAGTCTGTTTCCTTAAAGATTGCAAGAAAATTCTAGATACTTTTGTGCAGATTTTTCTAATTGTTTGCCTTTTTGCACACAGAATACATCTAACAGGCTCATTCACACTTGTATACTTTGCCTGTTTGGGGAATGTGGAGAAAGGATTGAAATGTTCTATAATAGTTGTATATATATGCTCTTTAGATTTTTCAAAAATTAGAATTCTCCAAATTATTTGGAAAAGGAAACTTGAGACTGTCTTTATAGTGACATGAATTCAGTAATGCTATTAAAAGATTATGACTAAACAGTGATTAGTCAGGGTTCTCCTTTGCCTGTGAATGCTGATAGTCAAATAAAAGGAAAATGATGAATCTGATACCATTTCTTACAAACAAACAATTGAATAAGCACCTTATTTTTGTAAAAATATCTTCCGGAAGATGTCCTCCAAAAGAGCACTTACATTCTTCTCATACAAAAAGTAACTGCAATGAATCCCTAATTTTGACCCAATAGAATAATGTTCCATGCTATTTCCCCCATTTCATTCAGGACTATAATCAAGGCCATTAATAACACCTGCATCGGAGAAGTTCAATAACTAAAAAGAGAGCTTGGTGAAGCAGAACTAAAATACCTCTAGGCCTTTACACCAAATAATCATATTTGTCTTTCACAGTTAGGGCTTTGTGCCTAGGCCAACAAGATGGGCTGCTGCACCAGGAAAGTCAGCTATGGGATCCACAGAGATATTCACTCTAAGCTGGCCACAACTGTATTGGTTACAGCTTAGAGTCTGGCATGGCATATGGCAGGATCCCTTCAATGGGCCGTCTCCTGCAGTCTGACTTGTATCCCAGCCCCTTTAATGATGGGATGCTTCACTGGAGTGTGGGTAGATCCTGCCTCGGCAGCTATGGTGGCATGCATTCCCCAAGGAGCAATGCCAGCATGCAGCCCCCGATCTCGCCTGCAATCCTGCAGCCTGCTGCCAGGGACCACCCTGGTCCTAGTCTGCAAGGGGCTATGTGCTGCCTCCCCCTTTGATCTGGACCCATCCCACGACCATTCACCTTACACTGGTGACAATTTGGGCCAACCATTAACAATAATAAGTCTGTGTGAACATATGTATGAGCAAGACACATGTTAGAAAGCAATGTCAATGCACCCTGGAATCCCAAACCAACTCAGATGCAGTCAGACTTAAAAACTGATTTTTGTTAAGTGCTCAGAACGGTCCAATTCTCCACAAATACATCAAATCAATTTTCATTGATTTCAGGTGGATTCTTTGGTGTCTATGGAATCCTATTACATTTCCAAAATGATCTATTTCTTTGTTTTATGTTTTGAATTTGCTACCTGGATTAACATTTTTCTTAAGAATTATGTGCAATTTGCATGCATATGCTTTTAAAATCAGGTCAGTCTCTATTATTATTATTTCTAGTGCTTTTCCCCTTCCACATAGACAGAGCTTTCTCAGCATTTTGTAAACAAGATTGTGTAAAATCTACACTGAACTATGTTTAACCACAAGAAGCAGAAAGTTGAATCTGTGATTTTAATCGGCACTGTGGGCTTCTTTTATCAGGATTCAATATTTACTTCACTCTTGGCAAATGTTCAAAGTCTTTTACACCCAGGGTGGGAAGGAGGAGTGATATAATTTCTGCTAAATGGAAAGATTAGGGGAAAAATGAGTCTGAAAGTAGTTAATGCTTTGAATGAAGCTCATTATAAAATGACCTTAATGCCTTTTCTGGCTTAGAAGCTATTTAGCAACTTACAGGTTAGGGATTTGTTTTCTAAATCTTTAAAAAATGTTTTAAAAAACCCAAACAAGTACAAAAATAGACCATGACAGCAAGTTGCCATAACTTTGGTGGAATTAAGCAGCTGCAATGAATAGTTAAGGATAACAGATTCTGTAGTATAACAAGATTGTCTGCATTACTTACCTCGCTTATTTGATAGCCGTGACTTTTTGCAGTGGTAAGCAAGCTCCTGTTCACAGTGTTCTGCATGGTTAATTGTAGCCTGAAGCTGTTCTAGAGTGGCAGCATATTTGAAAAATACAGTGTGTGGGTTCTCTCGATTAGCACTTTTGACTCTGGTTAACTCAGTGTTGTTGTGTTGTATAATTGTCCAGGTTGTGTCTTGGAAAACAGACAGAAAAGAGACAGGCATGGTGGAAGACAGGAATAAACACTCAATGGAGAAGATCCCAATTTTCTAAGACACTTTTTTTTCTGAGTAAACTTATGATAGCCACCACCACTTAGAAAATGATGGCAGCTTCTCTGAATTGTCCGTGAATGTTCCCCATCAAGGTTGTTTTCTTCTGGGGATAGTAGCCCTTGTCTCCCTGCTGGTGCTTCTAAGCTGGGTTTGGGGCATCGCTTATTTATTTCTTAATTTCTAACCTGCCCCATTAGCCACATGGCTCCCTGGGCAGATTTCAACAATAAAAACCATATAAAACAATAAAAACATCACAAACATTTAAATGACAATAGAACAACAATAAAAATGCACCCACCAGAACTCCAGATTTCCTATCCTTTTCTCTTAAAATACCATTAAAAAACAGTTAACAATTAAAATACATGTGTTATAAAAAGGTCTTTGCCTGGTGCCAAAAAGAATATAAAGATGGTGCCAGGCAAACCTTTCTGGGGGGCTCATTCTGAAGATGGGGTGCCATTCCAGAAAAGGCCCTTACATGAAGCAGCAGTACCCATCCCCCCAAAAGGCGGGACATCTTGCTGCATGCTTTCCATTTTTGGGGGGAAGGGTCAAATTCATAGGATAATGTCAGATGAGGAAGTTTTCCTTTTCCTTGTCTTCATCATGACACAAACCCATTTCACTGCATCCTGATCGGTGTAGCTTGGTGTTTGGAGAGCAACAGGGCAAAGGGTCTTCTATGGGCTATGCTCTCTGTGGCCTCCTACTCTCCAAGCCAATGCTGCCATGACTTGCCCTGTCCTTTAGGCCAGGTGCCACAATTGTCTAGACTGGAAGAGAGCGATCCCAACTCCTTGCTTAAGTTAATTGCTTGCATGCTTAGAGAGGGAAGGCGAGCAAGCCAAGGCCTGAAGCAAGAATAGCACTAGGGCCAGAAAGATCTGGGTTGCAGTAGTGTCCCTGTAGGATTCGGGCCTTGGCAGGCGCCCACTAACACCCACCCCTGATGCTGGTCTGGAGGGTGGGAAATAATTTCTGTGGATCTAGCTGGTAAATGACTCGTGTGTGTGTAATAACAAAGTTCCAGATCAAATTGTAAACAAGTTTTGTGAACTTCCAAAAAGGGTGGCTCAAGCTAATCCGTTCTTGGGCCATTTACTGCAAAATCATCCTTATTTGCCTGATAAATGGATACAGGATGGTTGTTTCGACCCAAAGGGTAGCATGGATACTGATCATTTATGCTACATCGTCCAGGTATGTCCATTCTCCTCCCTGCAAAACTGGCAGTGAAACGATACCCCCAGAATATCCTATTTAGGCCATTGAGGAAAACTGACCCACGGGGAACAGCACAACATTCCAGAAAGCAATGACAAGGAAGCCTGCTTATAAGACAGCAAAGTCAAATCTCGAACCAGCTGCTCAGGATATTTTAGGCATATTTTCTCAGATTATTATTATTTTAACTTTTCATCCTTTGTCCTTGCTGAACTCCTACGAGTACCTTATGAAAAACTGGCTGGTATAATCTCAGCCAATCCATTCACTGAATTTCTTTATAGGCTTAATGTCCCCCAAGGAATTTAAATCAATATTTTACAGTTCAGTGTTTTAAGTATTCTGTAGATCAGAACACCTTGCATACAGCTTCCTTTATTTATGGAAGACTGGAAATGACTGGCAGCAAAAGGAATATTTTTAAGACATGTAAATCACCTCTAGCAGGAATATGGAATAAGGAGATTGATAACTGTGATAACCCAATGTGGCACTAATGTTTTATCTATTAGTTCCAGGGTTTGGATTGATATTTTAAGGCTGCAATCTATATCCATTTACTTTACCTGAAAGTAGGCCCCATTGAATTCACTGGAACTTACTTCTGAGTGGACACATATGAGATTACTCTGTAACAGCGCGCTCAGCTAATGCTGGCTGGAGAAAAGGTTGTTCAGTGCATGACTGAATGTAGAGCCCTCTCTTACACAAAAGGTTATTTCAAGCACTAGAGAGAAAGGGACCGCATTTAAAGCAGGATCCAGGACCTTAGAAGGACAACATTCTGTACCAAGAGTTGTCCTCAGGTGGGAAGTTCTGGACCTCAGGCTTGCGATATTGAAAATGACCTCTGTGAATGAGACAGGATAGTGGCTCCTTCCTTTCCAGCTGCCTGAGGAGAAGCCAGCTGAATATCAATGACAAGGCAGCAGCATAAGGAATGTGGGCATCTGCCGTGGGAAAAGGGAATACCCATTGTGAGGAACCAGGGAAGAAAACAAATACAGAAGATTCTTCCTGTCAGATTGCATCTCTTGATGAGACGCTGATCAATGAGATTTGCTTAATGTGTTGAATAAGGAGTGACTGATGAGAACACTAGCAGCTGTTCCTAGATACACAAGGATAAATCAAACTGAACTTCACCTCAGAGGGCTGCTCTTCTCTTGACAGAATTTAAAAATCACTAGAGTGCTTCAACTGCACCCCTTTTCCCACTTTGATTTGGTCAAAATTAATGGATTGTCATGCTTCTGTCTCATGTTTGAAAGACATGGCAGCAGTTGTGACGATTCATTAGGGTGGTCTTTGAAGGGAGAGCTTTCAGTGTAGGCAGGACATGCCATATTTTGCCTCCAGAGGCCAAGATGAAGAGAGGAGCAGGCCTCTGGGATGTCAAGCAGGTACAACTGATTTGCCAGCTCAGGGCCAACATGGTAAGCTGCAAGTTTCCTCCCCTGCTGCAGGAGGAGGCTGAGAACTTTGGTGCTCAGCCGCTGAGAACCATGACACGGAGTCACAATGGCAACCCAAGCCTTCCTCTTCAACATGGAACCAGAGAGCAGAGTAGTGATTTTCCCAGCCATTGTGCTGTGCTTGAGTCTTTGACAATGCCTGAGATAATGTTGCCCCTTCTTCAGTTACAAGCTAGATAGAAATGATAGGGCTTTACTTGTTATTCTTGTTAGAGGGTGAAGAAGCACTTTCCATGGCAAATGGAACTGCAGAGCCTTGGTAAAGCCACAAGCAAATCCCAGAGGGTCAGGAAATGCCATGGACAGCAGGCCCAGCAATAAGCCAAGAGGCCAGTGAGAACAATGATGGAGTGATGGAGGACAATCCATCAAACAGGCAGAATTAGATAGGGTGGATGTAACTTAATCAGTCCTATATTTCCCATACTCTGTCATTAAAACAGCAGACCAGTTCAGTAGTGTCTAACATTACTGCCATCTTGTCCACAAGCAACAGGGACCACTTTGAAGGTTGGCTACCTCCTTTTGTTCAGGAAAGGAGGAGAAGGACTCAATCCGAAACCAACCTCTTAGCCTTAGGTCATATTTCCCTTCACTGGTGTCTTTTGCTGATAACTTCAGAAGGCTCCTCTCTTGTATCAGAGAGCCAGCCCAGCTGGCCAGTTTAGCATGAGGAAGACTGCAGTTTGAAGTCTTTTGTCCTCATCTGCTTAGAAGGGGGTGGGTGGGGAGGACAACTCTGAGAAGGGAAGGTTTGTGCAGCATTGACTAAACCAAAGACATCAGGCAAAGAGATTTGGTATTTTGCAAACTGCAGGAAATGAAGCAGATTGTTTCTAGGTCTAGACTGAGTCTAGACTTCTATACTTTAAAGAATTCAATAAAAATGCAAGGTATGACATTTATTATCACTGGAAGAAGCTTAAAGGAGTAATTGGTGGGGGCAGGGAGCAGCAGAGCTGAATTTCACATAGAAACAGAACTAGCAGACAAATGTAAAATGCATAAATTCAGGATGTACATTGCTTGAGATCCATGATGAGCTTTTATTATTGTCATAATATACATCAGATGACAGCATCATTGGGCCATCGTGGATGGCCTGAGCCCTCCAAAGTCCTCTTCCTTGAATCAGTGCTTTTTGCTGCACTTTCCACCTGAATGAAGTTAAGGGAAAGGAACTGCTGCAGCTGATGGGAGTTTGCCACTCCTGCCCATGATTATGAAGCACTGCGTGAGTGGGGAATGCCCCACTCAAGAGTCACAATAAGTCAACCTCGGTGAATTGCACAAAAATGAGGCTCCAGCCAAACTTGGCATAGCCTGAATCCAGGCAACAGGGGTGGGGGCGAATCAGAAGACCATGTTGCTATATTGATGTATTTTAACCAGTACAACCAACTTTAGCAAGTAACGTCACATGCTCTCACAGTTTCTATCATGCAAGAAATGCTGTAAGAAATGTGCATATGTCGTATATCTCTGTCCTAGTAACCCTATTGCTAAATTCTCAGACTACTTTTTCTTTCTGTCCAGCTAAGGGGTACAGCATCTGAAAAGCCCATGCACTTAGACCAAGAATTAGAGTTTTTTTCATGAATGTGCATGCAGTGATTCCCTTGGTAGATTTCTTAGCCTTTGTGCAAGTAGAAGATTACTGTTTCTCTTTTCTTTTACAATGTACACAAGCTACCCAATAACTTTCTACGAATCGAAGACACCTTCTATATATGAAGGACACTTTTGTTCTGACACAAAGTTTCTTCTCAAGTTAAATTCCACTAAATATGTATGTTGAAAAATACATTGTAGCATGCTTTGGTTATTTTGTTGCAAATGAATCAATTAAGACACCACACTAATATTCCACAAAAAGTAATAATGTGTGAAGTGAGAGCAAGGGACAGAACTCAAGTAATCCATCTTAAATTTGGAAGTATTCATGTAGAATAATCTTCGGTTGCATGGATGACAGTTGGCTTGGTGCAGAATCTATTCATAATCCATTTTAATCTAATACAATGCAACTATTGCTAAGTACTTGGATTGTGGCCCTAAAATGCAAGTGTAAGTCCATAGGACTTCCATAGGTGAAATAATCACACATACCCCACACCTAATGCTTCACTGAAATTGAGAAGTGCTCATATTTGGTGCTTTCATAGCTTACATCATGTTGTGTAAAGGTAGCCTCCAAAGAAACCCAGTGTATATAACTGCAGATGACTATAATAAATTATTCCTAAATAACATACTGAAGGCCACTCAGAGAAAGAAATTGCATCATCGGCACTATCCTTCACATTTGAATCTGCAGATGACTATAACTATTCAGTATACTCAAGAAATGAAATCATTATTCTTGTGTCTTTGCATATTTGTGTAGTTAAGTGCTAACTTTTCAAAACTCAAATTGTTTGGAAGATGAAAAAAGGGTAACAGAGAAACAATGGCAATTTCACAATCAGCACCAATTGTTATTGCAATTTTCCCATCTAACTCATTTCCAATCTTCTAAGAAGTCACCTTCACTCTGCTTGTACTTTAAACTCATAGACTCCAGAAGAGGTACACTTTCTACTTGATAGATTGTGTTTCAGTATAATGAGAATTCATGCAGACACAACCATGAGTTAAGGGAGTTTATCACCTTACCTGTCATATTGCAGTATACAAGAAATGGCCCCAGGGGGCCACTCCCATCTGAATCGATATAGTAAAAGCCTGAAGTGTTTCCTCTGTGCTTATAGGCTTCACACGATTGTTCATAAATAGCTGTAAAAGAACATCTTCCATCACAAGCACAATAGCATCGTTTTGCATTTTATTCAGAACATAAACAGTTGTGGGGGTGGGGGTTGAGATATACAATGCATGTGTTCAAATCTCAGGGAAATAAGAGGGAAATCACATAATAAAACCTGCACAACTCTAGGCATAAGTAAGCAATATTTACTCCTGTCAAAAGAAAATAGCTGAGTGGGCATTTCTCTTTACCTCTAAACATTTGAGTTCACAGTGGGAATAGCAGGAGGTGGTGGACAAATGTCTAAACAATCCAGGCATGTGATATACACAGCAGCTTGCTTTGTTTCTTCTGCAAAAAGACCTGGGATTCTGAGGACTAACTGTTTTAGTAGGCTTTGTGCTGAAGATTTATCAACACATATAATGCCCAGTTCCGTGCATGTCTGTAGGCCTGCACTGCATGCTGAGCAAGGGGGTGGAGCCATGCATTGCCTTGAAAACTCATTGGATTGGAGCCATGCATTGCTTTGCAAACCCCTGGACCTTTCTGTGCGGGAACAAGATCCAGATCACTACACACAAGCATCTCCAGTTGATGGAGATGGGTAGGACCTCACAAGAATGAAATAAAGACTGAAAGGGTCCCCAAGCTCAAGAGATTTCAATCACACAGGCCAGTGTCTGCATGTGCTTGGGCCGAGAGTCTGGGTCACTCTATTGTTCATCAGAATATAGCACAGGGGAAACTTGCCTCTTTTATCAGAACAGTGTCTTCATGAACAGCTGTGCTGTGCAGGTTTAAGCACAGATAATGGGGCTGTTCTAACACAATTTCAGGGAGATGAGTTGCCTTGCTGGGTAGGGATTAGGCGGAGAAGAGCATCCAATGGCGAGGGACCAGGAGCCATTGCAAGTTGCAGGGACAGAGCTCTGTGTGCCATGGCTCCTGTCCTTCACCCCCTAAGCTAAGTTGCTACCTTCATCTGCAATGGAAGATGCTGCCCCTCGGCACCAAGGTATAATCCATCTTGAGCCAGGTCAGTTTTTCTAAATGGAGGGGACCTGGAGGAGACCATTTTGTCCTTTGCCTGTTTTTGGCTTCCCCCCTTTTGGTAGAATCCTTGAACTGGACACCCTAGAAGGATCCAGTAAAGCATTATGTTGATCATCCATCTGGAAACTCTTTTACTGCTTCAGACTTGCATGCATCTCTTGGCATTTCCTGCTCAAGCTCCTGGTTGAATAGGATTTCCCCTGCCTCTTTTCTGGGCAGCTGGACAAAATAGCTGACAAAGCTTTAAATTCAAAGATAAATATGCACTAGTGATTCTGGCTTTTCAGTCCCTCATGCAAACTACACTGTGGCAGTCAAGAACTTGCTGCCACAGTGTAGCGTGTAAAAAATGCAAGTACTTGCTGTAAACCTGGAGAAATAGATATCTGCATCCCACCTGCAAATTAAATAGCTCCAAGTCATGCAATGCAATGTACCTATCCAGTAACTCTGCATGTAGAGTACATTAGTTCAATCTTCCAAAATGATTCATTAGTATTGTGTAATATTGCTGTACAAAACTATTATTTTTAGAGTGATATTTAAGGTTAAAATTTTGCATCTAGGCCATTATGAAAAACAGACAAAATGAATGCATTTTATCAGGAAGCTTCCCTTCTAAACAAATAATGCTTGTTTCTAATGGTGGGGAGAAAAATAAAATCCCACGCACTTTCCAATTTTGTGTATGCCTGAGAACAATACAGTAAGAATTCCAAACAGTGAAGGGAGTTTTATTCAGAATATTGATCTACAAAAATATGATTATACTTATTATAGATTTTATGGAATTAGCCTGTGGAAGCATGTAATATCAAGCTGCTTGATTCGTAACTGCATTAGATAAAATTGTATTGTTGTTGCTCCAAAATTTTTTTTTAACAAGGGTGGGGAGTTCAAACCTATAAGCATGAAGTGACTCTGTGGCAGTGAACCATTTGATACAGATGATGGTGGTGGTGGTGATGAGGATGCTGATGTTAGCTTAATAACATGGAGTTTTAAGGAAGAGGAGGATGGCCCTATTTATAGTTTAGGTTTAAGACACATCAGAGTAGATGGACATTCACTAATTTCCTTATCTTACCATTCTGTGATGGAATATGAGAATGTAAGATCTAGCTTGCTTCCGCTGATCAAAGTACTATCAAGCATTTGGCTACCTGACTAGATAGTCAGAAGTCTCCAGAAAGCTATGGCATGTCAGAGGCAGGCATCTTTGTAATTAAATATAAGGACAGACAGATCAATCTATTTCCAGTATATGCCACTTGTGTACACTCATGCATACATTCCTGCGTGAAGACATGGATATTTAAAATCTGCACAGGTGCACATTTAAATATATAACATGCATATTTTATATTTACTGTTTTCCTCTCCTAATATTGTTTTATTTATTGGATTTTAGTCTGCTTTTTTCTTACACTGGACTCAAAGCAGCTTACATCATTCTTCTCCTTCTGCTCTCAGTCTTCTCCCCACAACAACAATCTAGTGAGGTAGGTTGTATTGAGATTCTGTGACTGGCCCAAAGTCACCCAGTTGGCTCCATGGCTGAGCGGGGACTAGAATTGTTGGAGTTCCAGTCCTGTGCTTTGAACCACTACACCACAATGACTTTCGAATATGCATTTCTAAGATATTTCCTCCTCAAATGCTCATTTTAAGTGTATTTGATATATTTTTAATATGAGCATGTTTTGGAATATTCAACATACCAGAGGATAACTAAATTCCAATCTACATCATAGTCTATGAAGTTTGGATAAGGTCAGCTCATATTGGATTATTCATAGATCAACTTACTCAAGCATTTCTAATCAAAGATATAGAGTTTCTGAACATCTGGGCAACATTTTTAGCCATTATAGGTAATAGCATAAATGTGCAGAATCTATCAATTTTATAAAATGTTTTTCTACCTATAAGCACTAAAGGCAATAAATTATATGTGTTTATTGGACATTGCATCACATACTGGTTTCTTTTGTTTAATGATGGGTGGAATTCCATCTTCCAATTTATAATATGGTGGATTAAGTTGGATTAATGTGGAGCAAGAGTGCAGAACCTCAAGCTCCTGGGGTCCAAAATCCAGCTGTTTTGGATTACCCATATGGCCAATCTGCTTCCCACTTATCCTAAGGTGGTTTTTCCACCTTTTTCTACATTCTAAAATCTGGAATAGAGTTTTGTGGGCTGACAGTGGTTCTGGATTTTGGATGCCAGAAATTAGTCCAAGGTAAAACTGACTGCATTCCTAATTAGCAAGGTTTCTGGGTGCCATTGCCCTCTTAATGATGCCGCCAGGCATACAAGCAGGGCCTTGAAGCATACTTCTTGACTACAGGTGGCCAAGCACATGCAATATCTCATGATCAATATTTATTTCTTTAGCCAAAAAGATAATCCAATTCTAAATAATACCCACATAAAGAGTTACATCAAAAATATCAGAAGGATGGTTCAATGCAGTATCTAGCTCCTAACTAAAGGGGAAATTGCTTGAGCTTAGAAGTCTTGTTTAAGACTTAGAAGTCTTAAACAAGACTGGAGCAACAGCCTTTTTCTTTTCCCGCAGCTGAAACAACATGTGCATTCCAAAACTAAGCCACAAAAAAAAATCGCAATTATATATTACTATTAAAAATGATAATAGAGTACCTAGGACTTACAATAATGACACGTAGCCCCTGTGTAACCTGTGTTCGCACAATCGCAATAGAAAGTATTCCAGGATTGTGAGCATTCGCCACCATGTTCACAATAATTGGGCAGACATCTATAAGGACAAACAAAAGGAAACATGTTCATGTTGTTTAAATCTCTCTTAATGGGAACAAGTAGGAGGCATTCTTGAATAGGCATGTACAATTCCTTCTAATACCAGTCTGAGTCTCCTCAGGCTTAAGGAACTGCAGCCAAAACCATTCCAGCAGCGTTGAAAATATCGGAGTGCCATTCCACCTCCAATATCCCATAATAACCCAGAAGGTTGGCTGAATTAGTAGTGAAAATAAGTAGCCACTGAGTGAAAAGAGCTGTCTTTTTGCAATGGAAAATCCACCAGAGGCCATACACTTGTTTCCATATTTGCCCACTAAAGAAGATTGCTTGCCTTCTTTTTTCTCTTTGTCCTTCTAATGGTAATAGAAGAGCAACCAATATTCCCCTGTCTTATAAGAACAGAAGAAGAACCATGCTGAGGCAAACCAAGAAGCCAGCTGGGTCAGCATCATGTCTACATGATGTCTCCTTTTTCTGTCCCCAAATCATACAGGATCACATAAACAGGCTCAGAGTGCGGCAGACCCCTCTAGCCCACGCTGCCAGGAACATGCACGCATTGCCTCTGATCCTGGACCTAGAATTGCCCATCAGGACTAGCAGCCATTGATGGACTTCCCCCTCCTGAACGTCTCCTTTCCCCTTTTAAAGCCGCCCACATTGATCGCGATCAGTATTTATTTATTTATTTAAAACTTTTGTCTCAGGATGGCTTACAACAAAGAACAAACAAAATAACAAAACAAAACAAAACATAGCATCCAGTAAGTCAGGATAAAACCCCAGTTAAAACCAACTAAACATTAAAATAATGGGAAAATAAAAAGGTTTTCACCTGATGCCAAAAAGAATAACCTGTTGGCACCAGGCAAACCTCTCTGGGGAGCATATGCCATAGATGGGGTGCCACCACAGAGAAGGCCCTCCTCCAGGTAGCCACCCTCCTGATCCCCTTCAAGGAGGACACCCAGAGCAGGACCTCCTCCTCAGATCTCAAGGGGCGGGAGGGGCACATAGGGAAGAAGGCACTCCTATATCTCATAGAAGTGAATTCCAGAGTTCAACCAGACACTATGTGAAGAAGTAGCTCCTTTTATGTGTCCCAAATCATACACCAATCAGCTTCGTGGGATGACTCAAGTTTCTAGAATTCTGGGAGCAGGAGAAAAATGTCTCTATATCCACTTTCCCCACACCATAAATAATTCTGTACAGCATTACTATGTTCCTCCTTACTGACCTTTTTTGCTAAACTAAACAATTTCAGCTGTTGCAACTTTTCCTCATAGGGGAGTTGCTCCAGCTCCTTGAATATATTAGTTGCCCCTTTAAGCTCTTTTTCTAACTCCACAATACGCTTTTTTTGGTGTAGTCATGAGAAAAATGCAGTTGTCTAGGTGTGGATTTACCATAATTTGTATAAGGAAGGTATGATATTGATGGTTCAAGTATTTCCATTTCCTTCCCTAATTATGACTACCATGGAGTTTTTGTTTGTTTTTCCAGCAGCCATGCACTGGATTGCTATTTTTATTGAGCTGTTGGCCACAACACCAAAATCCCTTTCTTGATCAGTGAATACTAGCTCATATCCCATCAGTTGGGGATAAAACTGAAGAAATGTTACAATTTTTGAATAAAATTATATATCCTTATATGTTAGTATATAACATACTATCATTTTTCATTATAAGTATTCATAAACATCAACAAATATCTTTTCTCCTCTTTTTTTACTAGTGCAGTTTACTTGTCTTTTTATTGCACAATAACATTATTATTTCTAAAAAATCTTGAAGTTGAGGGGGAGGGGTTGCCCAAACATGCATTATTTTACCCTTGCCAACATTAAAGTGCATATGCCATTTTGGCTTCCATTTGCTTAGCTTAGAAAGATCCCTTTGGAGCTTCCACAATCCGTTCTGGTTTTAAACACCATAAATAGCTTGGTATCATTGGTAAACTTGGCCACTTCACTACTCACTCCCAATTCCAGATCATTTATGAATAGGTTTAAAAACATTGGTCGAAAGCTCCATTAGCATCCAACAGTCCAACTGCCTCTCTAGCTGGTTTCCTGCTTCTAATATACTTGCATTGTTGGTCTTGATTTTGTGTGTGTGTGATATGCTCCTCAAAGTGCTTTTTGGCTTATGGTACCGTCTGCCTGCCTTTCCCTTTGGCAAACGTTGTGCTTTCCTTTATTCTCCTCACTTGAGCAGGACTTCCATTTTCTGAAAGAAACTTTTTTCTCTGTAATAGCCTGCTTGACTCTGCTCATTAACCATGCTAGTGACTGCCTGGATTCTATGCGACCTTGCCTAATGTGGGGTATGCATGCATCGGAGCCTCTACATGTTTCTAAGCAATCTCCAAGCATTTTGAAGGAATTTAAGCCTCTTGACTCCTCTTTTTACCAGTTCTTTTCTTTTAGCAAAGTTTACTAATGTGACTGTGTTGGACCTCGTTGGCAATTTTCTTCTTAAATATGTGTTACATCTTTGCAAGTTTGACTAGGTTCTGAGCAAGCCCATTATATCTTGGAGCTGGCTGGTGCCAGAGGTCAGACTAGATGTCCCGGGAGGCCCCTTCTGACTCACTCTGTTTCTATGTTTCTATGTTTTCCTGGAAAACCAGACATTCTGCCTGTTCTGTTTTAGCTCATAGCTTCTAGCATTTGTCCAGAGATGCCTATGGATGGTTCCCTTTCCAGGCATGTCAGGCTTGTGCAACTGTTGTTTTGGAACTTTTGCCTCTAGCTGGTTATCGTGTTTCACCATATTCTAATGGCCTATTTTCTTACCTTCTACATTTGGGCAATCAGAATTTTTTTCTGCTTCATCTTCTAGGGGTAGCCACTGTTTCATTAATAACACAGGTCATTCAGATCAAAGTGACTTTACACTCTATTCCTTCACTGGTTTCCAAATCTGGGATACCTTAATGCTTACAGAACATATCTGCACTGATGGATTTTAGATGAGAATGAATGCACCGGAAGAGCTGTGGCCAGAATAATTTGCCCCCTAATTTCTTCTCCATGCTGCAGAGCATACATGATGGCAGGGTAGGAAAAACTGTTTATCCTAAGCATGCATCCTGGAATGCCCCATCACTGCAAACTTTCCTCTGGTGAGCAGTGTATTAATATGCCAAAGCTTTATTTATACCCATGTTAAATAATTCAAAGCAAATATTTTCTGTTCAGGAAATTATGTTAACCAGTTTATTCAGTCTTGTTAATATAAAATAATAATAATATATTTTATATTGTTAATTTGTTTTATAATTTGAATGTATTATATTTTAATTTATGTTGTGAGCCGTCCCGAGGCTTCGGCCAATGGGGCGGCATAGAAATGTTTTAAATAAATAAATATGTCACAACAAGCATTTTCAACTGGCATTCACATAATGACCAGGTCTAGACATAACTCTGGGCAATTTCTGGGTTGTTAAACCAAGGAATTGTGGGGATGAGTGGAATATGTTAGTGCTTGTTCTGTTTGCTTTTAGTCAACAACCCAGGAATGCTTTTTTTCCTGGACTGTTTCAAGACTTTCAAACACAGAAAGTGGGTACTGTGTATGGAACAAATAATTCAGAATTACTCCAAGAACAAACAATGGGCAATAGTGCATTAACCCATAAACAACTGAGAGATTTCAGGTTCAGGCATCATGCAACAACCCCGAAATAGTGAGTTATTGATTAAAAGTGGAAGCAACAGCACATAGCCCAGGTCCTTTGCTCATCCAAACTGGATCAATATACTGTATCTCTGACTTCATGATAACATGTTGTTTATGCCTTAGGAAGGGAAGGAAAACTGATTTAGTATTTGTCGCAATATAAATGCATCACATCCACAAAGGTATAACTAAAAGCAAAAACCATAGACTGTAGCTAATCAGAAGTTAATCTGCTGGAGTCCACCTTGTTTTGTAATATAAACATGCTTCTTTCAGTACCAGCCCCATAAGGCAGACAGCATGCCCAATGGTGAGGAGCTGTGGAAGATAAAGCCCCAAACATCTCGAGGGCACAAGGTTGCCAACCCCTCCAACAAAGGATTGAAGAATTTAAATGTCATCTGTTTTATGAGGCTTGACAGTTCTGTAGAACAATGCAGACCTGGAAGAAATTCCTGATATACACTTGCATCTTTTCATTTGCCTGCCCTCTCTCTATCCCTGAAAACCAAAGTCAATACATATAGCAAAGCCATCCACAAATGTCATCTGCTGTCCTCATCTCACAGGACACATAGTCCATTCCTGACTTACTGGAGAGTCACAGATTGTGAGGATGCCAGGCAGAAGAGAAGGCTGGCAGGGTCCAGACAAGGTTGTACCACTGGCACATGTTACTATAGGTCATGATGTGGAAGGAAAAGCAGAGCCAATTGGAGCCATTTGACCAGCTGGTGGACAGGTCACCCACTGTGGACCAGAGGGAAGACTTTCTCTGTTTAGTCCATTCTGGATCAATATAAGCTGGCCCAAGTTGTAGTACCAGTATTATTGTAACAGATTTTCCCACCTACCCATACCAAAAAGATTTTTATATGCGAGAGAACTTTGCTAGAGGTACAAGTTAGTTGCTAGAGATACATTTTACTTGCAGTTGTCTCAGGTATGCAGGGGTTTGGGATCTAGGGAAAATCGGATCTAGGGAACAGGAAAGAAAAGCTTCATCTCCTGCAGCTTCTCTGCTACAATTCATCCCTTCCTGAGCATGCCTTGCAAGAGAACAACAGTGGTCTTCCTAACATTACACATTTTATTTTGTATTTTACAAGTTGGCCACCTCATGTAAGAAATGCAATCTCAAAGGGAGAACAATTTGAAAAGACTTTAATATAATAGCATCCAAAGCATTCAGAAACATTTTGATTCTATAAGAAAAGTGACGAAGCTTCTCTTACCTGTCTATAATCCCACACAAATCTATCTGAAGATCACTAAAATTTCCCAAGTAGTTTTGCTGAACTGAAATTAAATCCACTGCCTTGTTATCAATGGAAATTAGTTTCATACATCCAAGGAAGCCAGCAAATGGATTTTTACATTCTGAACTGTTGGCATTGGTAGGACATCCTAGGAAAACAAGATGTTAAAGCTAATGAGATAAGGAAAAAATACATTAAAATAACAAAAAAATCCTATTCGTGAAGAAGTAAATCCCACCAAGTTCACATGGACTTACTTCCAGGTAATACATTGAATTTGTATTTCCTTGAAAATTACAGTTATAATATCTCAAAGGACACTGAAAAACAAATCTGTCATCACTCTGCTTGGTACAAAGGAGACAAGGTAATATCCAGTTTATTATTTATATTTATTTTTATAAATATTTATAGGAAAACGTTTCCTAAAAAGCTATTGAGGCAGCACATTGCAATTTAATACCTTAAAAAGTAAGAGTAAGAGCATGTAAAAATATGCAGCATTAGAAAAATTAAAACAACTGAAGAATTTAAATGGCTACATTAAAAATGTCTAGATCTCAAAAGGCTGAGAGAGTGGGGACCAATTTTACTGCCGCATTTTGGAACAACACAGGATGATTTCCTTTTATGAGTGCCTGTGTGTAATGGTGCTCAGAAAGGACTTTTTCTAGAGATGTACAAGGTGGGACTATCCCTCGAAGGGTAATATAAGCACCTTAATTTGCACCTGGAAAGCAATTTGCAACCAGTGCAGGTCTTTCAAGACTGATAGACGCTCAGTGCTATGCACCAGTTAGCAGCCTAGCTGCTTAGTTTGCACTTAAGCACATTCCTGCTAATGGAATAGGGATCCATCAAGAGTAGCATCTCCAGCCTGCACCCTTAAAATCTGATCGGTAATGTTGAGGGATCCCTAGGCGCAGGTTTCAGGGTATGCAGGGAAGCCAGTGGGGGGCAGAGCAGGGGAAGGTTCCCTTATGCAGTGTTGAATGTCACCTCTAACTACTGAGGTGCATCTAACAAACTTCAGTTGAAAGAAGTGGAGCAGTTCAGAAAGTTACAGAATAACAACCTTATTGTTACATAAAAGGATATTGGCAAAAGTGACTAAAACATTGCAAGTGTTACTCATGTCCTTTATTTAGAAAATTGCACAAAATCCAACAGCAATACTGCTATGGCGGAGGAACAATCTTAGGTACCCACCCCAGTTTGACATACGATGTGCTGCCATCATGTAGCAAAGTTTAGAGCTTGTAAAACATAGTTTATCTCCTGGGTGGCCCAGAGAGCATCCTTTCAGTGGGGATCTGCATCCCCAGAATTTGCCAAGCAGAATTGGCCAACTGAGGCCAGTAGCCTCAAAATATTGGTTGCTGTTGTTTTGCGGGGTTACCACTGTCTAAATAAATAGCAACCACTTCAAGACAGAAGCCATTGGACTAGAGATCCCATCAAAGGAAGCAGTGGGACATCACGGGCAAGTCTTGTCCTGCACAGAGATGCTCTGACCGAGTGCCACCATGTTGGAGAGGCTGCATCATCAATGGGCATATGGCAATTCAGAGCCAAGATGTACTTGGTTTTTGCTTGGCTCAGGCTGCTAAAAGTAGCAGGGAAAGATCAGAAGTGGCAGTTTGACTTTATAAAATAGAATATATAATTCAACTGACTTTTGAGCCTAAGTGGGATTCATATAATAGCAAGAATTGTTTCTTTAAGTTTAAATAAGCAGAAGAAGTAATATTTGAATACTGTCTAAACACCAACAAGATCCATGATAGAAATAAAACAGGTTAATACAGTGCCCACAGCATGCTAGAAAAGAGGAAAAGACATTCCCAATTAAGATCGTAGTATGCAGCATATGCAAATTGGCAAGTTTTCATTTTCTCTGTAATACCACTTCCAGTGGCAAAAGTCCTTGGAGTAGTCATCAGTTTGAACTATAAATGCTAATAGGTTATGGAACATGACAAATGATGCCTACTTCGTTCTCTCCCCTCGACCTGGTATTTTTTCTCATAGGGCAATGCTGCTCTAGGATTGATGCACTAAGACACTACTTTGATTTTAATCAAATAGTATTGCCTCCTGGGTCATATTAGTCAAAGGACGTGTTGTCTCATAATATTAGAAGGCAATAACTTAAGCACATGTTCATAATGAAACTCATTTATAACTGAACTAATGAAACCCTTTTCAAGCTGAAAGTTACAAAAGGAGGTGAAGGGAAATAAAAATAGATTACACATAAATTGTACAAAACCAGAAAGAATTATAAATTGTTCATGACCGCTTACACTGACTGGGAGAACACATACCCTACTGAACTCTTTGCTTTATACAGATACTACATGACTGGAATGCAGTACTATTTCACATATCTTTGGAGCAATTGCTATGAAGGAATTCTATGTGGAAATTAGCAGGGGAAAACCTTGCTCTTATTACATTTTTAAGCTGGTAGACTTGAACTTGAAAATGGCTAGCTCCTAATTCTCTTTTACTTCTCTATTTGGCATTTGTGTGGGCAATGTTTATGTTTGATGCACACCTATGACAGAAGTGTGCATCAAACATCAAACATATATGCCCAGCCGCCCCTTGAGATCGGCGGGGGAGGCCCTTCTCCGGGAACCCTCCATGAAAGAAATTAGGAGGGTGGGTGCTCGGAGGAGGGCTTTCTCCGCGGTGGCGCCTAAGTTATGGAACGCGCTCCCCAGAGAGGTCCGCCTGGCGCCGTCGTTATTTGTTTTTCGGCACCAGGCGAAGACCTTTTTATTCAAGCGGCATTTTAACTGTTAACATTATTGGTTTTATCTGGCCAGGGTGGCTTATTTTATACTGTACTGTTGTATTTTAATTTTATATTTATATTTTAATTTATATTATAATTATTTTAATTTATTGATGTGAGCCGCCCCGAGGCTTCGGCGAATGGGCTGGCATAAAAATGTTTTAATAAATAAATAAATAAATAAATAAATAAATAAAATAAGTGTGTGGACTCTGTTTTCTTTTGACATGTGAGCTCTGCGTGTTGGGGTGTGTGTACTTTCTCTTGTTTAAGAATGATTGTTGAACATGGTTTGTGCTCATGAGGAGGGAGAGTATGGCGTGTACGTGTGAGAGAGACAGATGGATGGACGGACACAGACACGGATATGGACAGAGAGTGAATCTCTGCATGAGGTTCTTGAAAAAAGGGTACACAGTTACTGAGATGTATTAAAAAATTCTCTCTGTCACATCCTCCATTAACAGCTTGCCTGATGGGCAAAAATGGTGGAAATGGAAACAGGTGGGTTTCCAAGTGGAACTTTTCTGATGTTTTAAGAAACTAAAGAAGAATACAGTTCCACCTCCTAGCAATAAAGGGTCTCCATGACCAGCTTTCAGCTCAGCAGTTGTTCCTGGAATAACCATGAAAGTACACACAGCGGGACATTTTAAAAATAAATTTAAAAAGTAGAAGACTCTTCAGCCACTTGTACACTGAATAAGGAAGATGGAGCTCCTGCCTCCTCACTCACCATTAGAAAATTATTTGAAATTCTCCCCCTCACTGCAACAAAGAGCATGAATGAATGAGCAAGCAAGCTTCTTCTGAGAGAGAAGAATTCCATGAAAATAATGTTCAGTGTAGTACCAGTTAACCTATGGCATCCTACATGATTTAGGGCCAAGGTATACTTGCCTGCGTATGTGACTCCTGAGTGCTTGAGGTTAGCTTCAGAGGTAACACAGACATTTAAACATTTGTTTTGGCCCAACTGCTGTGACCTGCTTTTTCTGTGTTCATTCTGGGATGCAAAGGGTGGGGAGATTTTGTGCATTGTAGATGAATACTTTTTGTGTTGTATTGTTTTTAGATGATGTTTTATTTTGTTGATATGTATTTAAGCATGTAAGACACTTTGATCGTTTTTTTAACATTAGAAAGCATCAACTAAAATTTAACAGCAATGGCAACAACTTATTTAAACAGGGATGTGGCACAGGGATACAAGAAACAGGGATGTATCTTAGCTCTGTCTCACTGGCTTCACAGAAGATGACATTGGTACAAAGCATTCCCTGACCAGATTTTTTTTATCCAAATCTGTTGATAGCCGATTATAAATAAGGTTCTGATCAAGAACTTGGTGCTGCTTTGGTATGGACTTTGAATCGCTGGTAACAAGGAAACAATGCTTAATGTATATCTATTCATTAGATTTCTACTGCTATCCATATCCAAAAATATCTCTAAGGGGTTTGTGTTCAATAATAATGACTATCATTTAAAAATGGTCCATTTAGTGGGAAAATAGAGTTTAATCATATTCAGAAAATCACGTTTCAAAAAAAAAAGTTGATAGCTTTTTTAAAAAAGGAAAGATTGTATTAGTTTTCTTCACACATCCCTGCCTTTAAAAAACAAACAAACTTGTCCTATGATTCTTTCTGTAAAGAATAAATCATTCCACTATTAGTAACAGAATTGATGGCCAAATTTCTACCCGGTGTGCTTTCTGTGCTCTCTGTCAGTCTTTTTCTATATATAGTGAAATACACATGCAATATGCATTACAGAAATTTGTGTAATTGCATTTATATTTGTTGATCATTCACTTTTCCTTGGTGTTATACATTTCTAAAAAGCTTTTTGTTATAGCATGTTTGTGCCTTTTACCTTGAGTTGCATGACTAAGCCATTTGGCCTCAATAATTGAACAGTTTACGTCTGATTGTATCTTTTCTATGATGAGACAGATGGGATGGATTGCAACACACTCTATTAGTATTCCCTTTGCTAAAGTAAAAGGAAGCAAATTAAGTTACCCAAAACTTTTCTCGTTATTGAGAGAGTAAATTCTACTAATAGGTCAGGGTTGGGTAATCTCTGGCCTGTGGGCCTGACACAGTGTGCGAGATTCTCCTTCTGGCCTGCTGAGACTTTGGCTCTTTCTGTGGGGACCTTTCTGGTCTTAGGAGCTATTGTGGTCTTGGGAAAGAGGCAGGCAGAGTTTTGCTTGTGGGCCACTCCCTCCCAATGGTATATTGGCTGCAGACAAATTTATGTCACAGGCATGGTCCCACCCTCTGATTTCATGCAGAAAACAGTTCCCACCACTACAACCCTCTGAGAAAAAATGCCAATAAAGTTCATACCAAGACATTCAAAATGGAGGAAGAAGCAGGATTATGCATATTAGCCCCATTCTCCAACTCCACAAAGGGGGCTTCAGACAAAAGTATGGAGGGTCCCCAATTATGTGAAGGTTTATAAGTGTGGTTGACTGAACACTACTAGAAGCCCCCTTCATACCTTTGCATGAAGCAACAGTTATACAACAACTTTCAACAGGGTGGTGGCATTAGGACAAAAGCTTTCATGTGTAGCCCTGCTGCTCTCTTCATGCCGAATGCCTTTAGATGTCTAAAGTTATGTCCCACTCTGGATACTGGTGCTTGGTTTATGCAGTGGTGCTGGGGATTAGAAACTCTTTCAGAGAGTTGCAAGTGGGCTTGATTTGGCTAAGAATGGGTGGATGGGAGAGGATGAAAGTGTGAGTATATGGATTAGATTCAACTCACCATGCAGATTATCCAAAATAATTTGAATCCAGATGAGAACATAAAGACTTTCCTCAAAAAGTTTGCACTATGGGTAAGTAACTCTTTATTTTAAGTCAGAGTTCTGACATGAATTTGCTGGTAAAGATATTGATAGTGGTGTCCCTCTCTGGGGGGTGGGGGGGGAGGGAGGAAATCTCAGGTAAGCAACTGGGAATTAGGAGAGACACAGCGCTTCTGCTTGCCAAAGACTGCTAGGACATCTAAGCAGTTTGACCACCACTGCTAGGTGACACTGATAGCCCATGGGATATGATCATGCTACAAGTAGATATTGTTATCATATAAAAGTCTTGTATATGCCTTTTGGTGTATGCAGAGTGAGCATCCAGTCAGAACCCTACATTTGTGGTGCTGAGAATAGGTGAGAACGTTTTGGGGTCATCAGATACACAAGTGAGAATGTAAGTGTTGACATTTTGGCTATCGGGATGGCAACTTCATAAAAGAAGGGATCTTCTGGCTGGATACTCTTCCCCTTTGTCCCTGCAGGCAAAATTTGTCACTCCTCTTCTGGTGACCTGTTTCACAAGCATTGATCCACTTCAGTCAGTCCTGTCAACTCCAGAAATCTCTCTTGAGGGTCTCAAGCCACCCAAGTATATGAGATCTCATAAGTTTTATTATATTTATTCAATATAATGTTTATTTCAAGCCACCCAAGTATGTGAGATATCATAAGCTTTTTTATATTTATTCAATATAATCTTAATTTTGTTGAGTGCTGCATGTCGTCACTGGACGGAGCTGAAACCAGTGGTGCGTGCAGCCAGAGCTGAAAATGGCCACGGCCACCCCTTTCCTCTTTCGCCCACCACTTCGCCTTCGTGCACTCTCTGACACCCCTTCTCTTTCCTTCCCCATCCAGCTGGGTGCTATAGGGATAGTTTGCTGTGGTCAGTGGTCTAAACTGATCATTTGCGGATCACTTTTAAAATTAGGCTGCAGATTACATGCAAATATAGCATCTCTGGTCGCCCACCCATGCATAAATTAGGGATTGCATTACATATCTTATTTATCCCATCCTGTGTTCTAAAAGCAATTGTACTTCCCCTGACAGGAACCAGCAACAGCCTATCCATGGCAGGAAAGAAACAGCCAAAATATGTTGCCCCTCTTTTCTTGTGGCCTTTTCCAACTGTGAAACGTTCTGGGTTGCAAGTACTAAAATAGTTGACTATTAGACAATATACCTTCCCTAAATACAGATGATGCACCACAAAATTTCAAGCATCAAGGCTTAAATTTTGTTGAAGCAGCAACAGGAAAAGGTTTTAAACTCTGAATGGATACCTCTCCCACAGGAAATCATATGACCAGTAGAGTAATAAAATGATTAGGGATAAGCACAACCAACTAACCTAATTAGATTACACCCACATTTTATTCAGGTCTATTAATCAAAAATAGCTTTCTGTTTTTGGACTAACTCTCAATCAATTCTCTGGTTTCAGTAACTGAGGTTTTTTTTTTTTTTTTTTGTCCCTTCTCTCTCTTTTTTTCCTCTGCTTGTCTGACCCTTGTCTTTTTTTGCTTTAGGCTTTTATCTCTGAAAATTGGAAGTTCCCCCTCCTCCACCACTCTTGAACTCCAGCTACCAGAAAGGTATTTTCTTATTAATTTCTTCAAAATTTTTATATCCTGGACTGAACCTTCTTCCTCCCTGACCTTTGTAATATCTGCTCTTCTGTGTACGACTTATTGATCTTTATATTCTAAGCTTTGATCTTAGCTTTTAGAATGAAACTGATAACAAGATAATTTCATAGTGTCCTAAAACCAATCTGAATACCACAATGAAGGACAGTTATGTTCTACACTCAGAGACACACACTTAGACACACACACACACATGAAGGACTTTGAAAAATGTTTCAGTATATTGTATGCATAACAAATGCCTCAACATAACTTATATCCATACTACTAAGGCAATTTATGGCAAATCTGTTATTTAAAATGTTCAGCATTCACATTCAGAATGCATCCAGCCGTCTGTTAAGCCCAGAATGTGATCTCACCATGAATGTGAAGAGATGTAACTCATCATAATGCTTATACTGAACTTCTGAAACCAAACTTCATTCATGTAGTTTCAAACTTCAGACAGCCACAAACTTTGGCTAGAAACATCAAAGTATCTCACCTCCAAAGTAGTAAGTGTCTCCTGATGAAATCTGGATGGGTATTGATGCATGAGAGGAAGCACTTGCATCATTATCTATGACTAGGGTGACACGATTCTTTTTAGCTGACAAAGAAATGGAATGCCACTGCCCATTATTTAATCCAGCACCTAGATTGGGGGAAATCAAACAAATTTCAAACAATGGCATAGATTAGTATAGAATCATAGTATGATAAACATTTCATAATCTGAATGCAATGAGAAAATGAAGGCATTTTGTTTCAGCTTCTGTCAATCCCCACCTCCCGTCTCTCTCTCTCCCTCTCCCTCTTTCTGTTTTCCCCTTTTGTTAAACAGGAATAGGAGATGGGGGTCTGTAATATAAATGTTCTCACTTATCACAGGAGATATTTCTAATGGTGGATGTAATTTACAGGATCTGCAAAATCCCTATTGAAAAGAATATCTAAATATGCATGTGTGTATAAAATGTTTTGAGTATCAGAGGGCCAACCAAGATAGCAAACCTTATTAGAAAGGATAAAGGTATGAAACAATTCACCAGACCTTGGATTGAATTAATGTCTGAAGCAGAATGTGTCAGCTCAGCAGCTCAACTTGCATAGTAAAATGAATGTTCATGCAATTTCTCTTGTGCCTTCTTATAAAAGAACCTGACTGACTAGGAAATCAGATTATCACTAGGGAATAACTGGTACTTGTGACAATCAGCTATTGCACAGTAGGATTCTATTCTAGGACGTCATAAAATGAAACTATGAAAATTCTTTGTTCCAGGGCCAGCAACAGGCTCAGCTCTGCAATCAACATAATCATTATTCCAGCCTTGGAATAGAAAGTAGTGACAAATTCAAAACACACAGAGAGAGACACACACTTCCCCTTGTAAGTCCCATGCCTTGCTCCAGATTTGCTGAATGCAGAAGGAAGGAAAGGAAGGGGCCTTGCTGTTATATGAGCAGAAATTTCTTCCATTCACAGAATGTTGGATTTATGTCAATTTGTATGATTTACATTATCCAGTGTAGAATTCATATCTAACAAGCACACTCTATTAGCCATTTTCCTTTGATTTTGTTTTGTGGGTGTGTTGAATGGCTTACGTATCAAAGGGTTTCACAAAGATCAAACAAAGCACAGCAAACATTCACAAGCAAACAAGGCAATCTTACATGTACAACCTTTAAATTACTTCCAGAATTGTAGGAACAAATAACCCTTTCATCAAAAAGATGAAAAGAAGTGCTGGTTGTAAGAAAATACACCATCATAAGAACAGGGGTGAGAACAGACATTTTGGCTGGTCCAGGGCAGTCAGGGTCCTGAGCTACTGAACTTGGCAAAGTGCCTTGCCCACAATGAGGATGCCATGTATAGACAAACAACAGAAGCCAGAACCATTATCAGACCATTCTATAGGTGCCTTTGCAAAGCCACATATTGCAATGAGACAGTGGTACAAAACATGCCATTGTGTTCAAGCCACTGCAGCAGTGGATCTTGGGCCTAAAATACAATTGCATCATCATTTGGAAGGTAGTTGGATTATGGCACCAACAGCTCCATTTCATGGCTATGGATCAAGTACTATAGCCACAAACCCTCAGAGAGAAGGCTCCATGACCAGTGGGTGAAATTATATTCCCTGCTTCACTTGCCAAATACAGAAACAAGTAGGACATCCAACAGGATAAGCCATTTTGTGTGCTGCAGTGGCTGAAGCAGATTAATCGGATCTTAACCATATTTTAATATAGGAAAAAAGCTCCATTATGTTAAAGTTAAATTACACTCCTATAATTACATTACCATAATATTTATATTTAAATATAAAAATGTGGAGAAGGGATAATTTCTAAGCCACTGGCTTGCAGTTCTTTAAGGGTTCAATTAGACAGAAAAATAGTCTGCAAAGCTAAGGCCTATAACTGTAAATAAACAAATAACATTAATAAATTCCCAGCATGTCCCAGCCAGCCATGCTGGAAGTTGCAGATCTTGCTCTGTCTAAATATTTACAGGGTTGTGCCTTAAACTATATTTTGTAATGCTGTCTTCTATTTTAGCCTCTTCTATACTGCTGCACAGTTTCATTGCAATATCAAAGTATTTAGAAATTTGTTTTCAAATAATAGTAAAAGGTCATGGGAAGAACCATAATTTATATCACCATAAACTGGCAATTAGAAACAAATTCATAGAACTATGCTTGTGTAAATATGGAAAATAACATGTAAATAGATAGAATATTATTATATGCAATAGCTTAAGAATCTTTTTAAAAAATTTAACAGCACAGTCTTAGGTCCACTTTGCTGAGAGTAAGCCCCATTGAACACAGTATTTATAATAGAATTGTGCATACATATAGAAAAATATGCCTGAAAAGCTGATCACAATGACATCCCAAATAACCCAGATCGCACCATTAAATTCTAGCAAAATATAAATTTCCATCAGTGAAACAGGTATTCAGGGGCTGAACGTTTCTTTAAATAAAAAGGTCTTTAAGGGTGCTGGGAGGCTAGTGGCTACTTCAGAGTCTCACATCAGAAGGTAAGGACAGAGCTCTGAACTTGGAGTTGGGAATCCATGTTCTTAATGCCACCCCCTCTGCTTTTTCTCTCCATGAAGACTGCCTCTCCAATCCTCAACCTGAGAAAGAAGATAAACAGTGCTGGAAGGGAGAAGGGAGAAACCTGCAGTGGCCAACATGAATCTTGTGGCATCTGGAACGTCTTTCCTTCCCTCTTCGTCAACAACCAATATCCACCTAGCAGAAATTCAGGGCAAGTGAAAATTGTCTGCAGCAGCCCTTCTATTCTGCATAGGTCCAGGGCCATATCAGCATCTTCACTGGATTGCACCCTAGCTTACAAATAGTGACAGTGGGGGCTAAACACCTCTTTTGGGAGTTCTTTTTTCAGCTCCAACCATCCTTATGTTAGCAAAACATCATTGAAGAATTTAGATAACTCTTCATATATCTCCACATGTACCATTTAGTACAAAGCAACTTTTCTAATTTCTTCCTTTTGATCCTCCATCTTTCTAAATATTTTAAAACTCACTGGCAAAATATATAAAAATAAAAATGGGTTGCATAGGGGAAATTATATAAAGGTTCTTCTGCAATAGAAAGTCTTGCTTTGTTGTAAGTTAATCACTCATGAATTAATACATACTATTTTCCTCTGTCCTAATGTGGACAAGGGAATCTTTATGAATCTTTAGTAATGAAGTCTCAGAACTGTACTCAAGTAATATGCTCTAATTTAATTATTACTTATTGTATGTGTGAAAGCCAGGTCATAAGTCTTTGCCTGTGGGGGAACAAACCTGTCCAACCATTCATAATTTAATTACTCAATCTCCAGTTGCAGACTTGATTTGTTCCCATGAATGGAGGTACTTCAAATATAGAAGGGGAAACATTTACTGTATGGGTTTGTTAGATAACTTTCTGCTGAGAAAAGCAGGAGAAGATTTAACATTCTCCAGTCGTGTAAGCAAATATAAACTTACATTTGCAACCGCATGGGATTTCTGCCTTAGTCACATTATACGATAACATAAATTCTGTCTTAACACAGCACTTTGATTTTCGTTGTGAGAAGTTTCAAGTTGTGGGTGAATATTTTACAGATGTTGATTTGTGTTTGCAGTTTAGTAGTTTGACAGAAAAAGCATGTCAGGAAGCCAGTTAGAAATGACAGTGCATTCCGGAAGCCTATTAAAAAAGGCACTGAACTAAGATTGTGTCATTAACATGCATGTAATTGCACTGTGATTTAAATGGCTCTGGAGGAAGTCAGATACATCACAGTAGACTGCGCATCAGTGACACTCTTACCACGGAATTAACATTTTCAGATGGTGAGCTCAGGGAAGCCTGTTAGTCATAAATTGGCACACTCTCTGCATTATTTATTTGTGTTGGTTAGCATACCTTGTAGCTGATCCTGCTGCTACTGAAATCAATGTCAAAGTCTCCCTTCTAGGATGAATGCTTGATGTAAATCATCGACATGATATTCAATAGCTGCTGGCTACTAGTCAATTACTTCTCATTCTATACTTCTGTTGCCAGTCAGTTTTAACCCTTGTAAGCAGCTGCCAACATGTGGAAACTTACTGGAAAGTAAGACTATTCTCCTGAGCAGCTTAGGAGTTTTATGTATTTGTTCTACGGAAAACTGTACATCTGAACAAAAACTTAATGCAAAACATTATTGCTGAGCATAGAAGGCTTGCCTTAGGGACGCTAAAAATATTGCTTAGTGCACATCCATTGACCTCATAGATATTTCTAATGTTGCTGACCTTGCTGAATAAAACCCAAACACCAGAGCCCTATTCAGATGTTCAGAAACTGTGACTCAGTGCTGGAGGGTGTAATTTACATGGGGACAGTCCCAGGTTCAATTACTGGCATCTTCAGGTAGGAAAAACCTGGTAGATGGGCCAACAGTCTTGCTTGCGGTGAGGGAGCTGTCTGTGTTCTGATGACCCAACCCCTTTTAGATGTCCACTCTTGGAGTCAAAATGCTGGATTCCAGTATTGCATCCAATAGTGGTGGCAATATACCCTCAGGACCACTGATGGGAAATATCAGTGCATGGGTATTATTGGGCCCAACTCCTACTTCTGGGCTCCCCCAAGGCACCTGGGTGGTGACTGTGTGAATAGAATGATTATTAATGAGGGTCTTATGTTGGGATGACCACATGAGTCAAATTCATGCATCCAGATCCATCAGGAAATGGAACATCAATGCATGCTTCTCCCCCATCCCACAAGCATTCTGAGCTTACAGCTATGTGGGCAGAGGGCTTTGTGCACACACTTGGGAACCCTGCTGCCATTCCTCCCCAATCACATGGACAGTGACATCCACATGAGCAGTTGCTCGCGTGACACTCTATTCAGGCATTTAATAGAAGTGCACAAAGGGAGGGGAAGAGTCCTGCATTGAAGGTGCAGCCTGAATGCCTGAAAAGGACCTGTGAACCTCTGCATTCTTGGGCAGGCAGCCAGAACAGCTTGGAAAGCTCACTGTACTATGGGGAATAAAATAGATACTCCATATAGTACTGTGAACATAACAATGGCATACACTGCTCAATACGCTCTCCTTCATCCAAATGTCTTGGAAACAGCTCAAAGTAATCTTAAGGAGCTTTGAGATGGGCATAATGTACTGGCCCAAATACGAAGATATGTAAGCAACAATACAGATTGAAGTCCTTATGTTGGATTGCTTTGCTGTCATTTAAACTTTACGACAAAAATAAAAGCAACAAAAACTGTTTCATAAGCCTTATTGCAAACTTTAATTAAAGCTTTTTCACCATGATTTTTTCAGCTTTCTGTTACCTGCAGTGATATCACTCTGTGCCTTTCCAGGTTTATAGAAGCTCAGTTTAACCTTCCCATCACTCAAATACATAAGGAGGCCACCTGACGTTTGGTATAGTTTACTTGATAGCAGCAGCCCCTCATTGTTCCAGGTACGAAACTGAAAATTGATGGAGATATCATCTTGGCCAGATGTACCAGGTAATGCTAGATAGCTGTTGGGGTTCAAAAAGGTGACAGGAATAATTGGGGGCTCTGAACAGGAGAAAGAAATATTGCCCTGGAAATAAATGAAATAAGCAAGGCATTAGGCAAGTGCAGAGGCAGAAAGTCTTACCCATATCAGCTAACTGCTTTAAATAATTAGGTCTGGAATTATGGATAGCATTTACATAAACTTCAGTTTCTTCAGTTCATTATACAGCTGGAATAAGGGACAGCAACATTTCCAAGATGAGAATGCTGTTCATCACAAGATGGCTCGGTCAATCATGTATTCTAGCCATCGCAGCATGGATTTTCAGGAAACATGAGGATACATATAGGCCTGGTTTAGATAAGCTGGAAGTCCCATTCTAAATGCCTTGTTGAGGCAGCCAATCAGCCTGGGTTATCTTTACTTTCTAAAGCTGCTAACAAAATGTGTGTGGCCTGGATAGACTGCAATGGTGGTGCAGTTGTAGCACTAGTTTTATTGCACTAGTGTAAATCAAAGCTAGTGTAATATTACAATTTTCCAGTGCAAGGAGAAAAGTGGCAATTTACTATCAAATTTCGGGAGCAAATCACTTTTCCCTTTGCACTTGCAGGCACTAATGATGTTGTGCTAGCATTAGTTTATGTGTGTGCAATATCATTTGATTACTCTCCACATCTGGACCAATAGTAAGGACCAACGTATCACTGGACAAATAGATCATTATCTATCAGATTTTTCTACCTCCTCCAAGCACACAAATAATATAGAACCCTTGAAATATAACCCAATGGCAGTAGGGGCTTGCCTTACATGGAGAGTTTCTTTCAAATTCATTTGTACCATGTGGTTACCATCTTTCAAATCATTGAAAATGATGTGTAGAACACTGTTAAAAGGAAGCAATTTTGAGAAGCCTCCATATAGTCATAACAACTGAAACTCCTCTTTGAACATTTTTGGTATGGATAGAGCAGGCACGGAAGAAAGTTAATTTGGCTTCTGTTGTAATTTGGAGATAATAACCAGGACCTCCAGGAGAAACATAGAACAACAGTGCTCAGGATGTATGAAAAAAGCATACATTCATTGCTCTGAAGGGTTTCTAAGGGATATTTTAATTAAGGAATAACTATTATCAGAGGAAGAAGTGAGGAAAAGGCTTGACTGTGAAACATATAGGAGACAGGCATTGGACTGATTAAATAAATGGCCAAGTTTAATAATATTCTAAGATGGTATTATCAATAATGAACATTGGTCAGTTAAATGTAATAATAAATGGACAGTGGATAGCATCTAAAACTATAAAACTGCAGTTTCATAAAAATGAACTAAAGAGTTTTTTCCCCTATTTTTTTTTTAGCTGGAATTAACAATATGCTGAAATTATCCTTCCTCCTCCTCCTCCTCCCCCTCCCCTTCCCCTCTTCTTCCAATTCAATTCAATTCAATAAAAAGTTAATTGCTTTTGAACAAATTTCCAAAGGAGAAAAATTCCCTCTTCCCATACGAATCTTGATGGAAAAATGTGTAATAGAAATAAAAATAGATGTGGCAACCTCAGCTACTTTGCAACAAACAGGTATGCTAAAGCTAAGCAACACTCCCAAAAACAATTCAAAAGACATTCAGAATAGCCAGAGAAAGGAGCAAAAAAATGGGTGCCTCTTTTGCTAGGAAAAAACTCTTTCAGAAAACCAGCAGATAGATCTTGTCACAGCAGTATTAGGTCGGCATGCTATTTAACCATATATGTACTTCAAGAAATGCTGCCAGATAGGAGTAGGTAGAAATTTGGAAAATCAAGCTCAGATTCCAGTATAATCACAAAATTGTTTAATCACTTCTTTGTGATATTGGGGACCAATCTTAATAAGACTTTGAGAACAAGGGAAAGTATCTAGCAACTCTGTTCAGTGAATGAGGAGGTCTCTTCACACTGATGTTAAGATGCAGATCCCAGATGAGGCTGTGCAAATACACTATGTTTTCTTCATATTTCAAGAATATTTTGAGATTTTTCAGGACATCTCTACGTTATACAATTTTAGCTAATCTCTTATTCCTCATTCCCAGCTCTTGACAAAAGTTTAAGTATTTTTAACTATGTTTGTCCACAGCTCTGTCTATAAAATTCTATATCTTCTACTTGTAAAATCCTGCAAACACAATTCCGTTGACATGTATCATTATCTATCAGATTTTCCTACCTCCTCCAAGCAGAGCAAATGATATAGAACCCTTGGAATATAACCCAATGGCAGCTGTCTATACTATTGTATTTCCAGCAAAAATTTCTTTCATAAATGAAACCATAGCTGGGTTAACAGTAAAGTGAACTGACCCATGGAAAAGGCAATCAGAAGGCTAATACATCTTTTGAAAAACAAACGATATGCCATCTGTGAATTTTCCCCTTGACATCTTTTGGACAGGTGCCTAGCAACTACCTATTTCACAGTAAATTCCATGGTGAAGCACAGCCTGGCACTTCTACATTCCAAATATATTTTCTAGATATAAAATAACGATGGTAATACATTGACATAAATGATCTTCCTGCAGACACCGGTGAGGTAATTCTGATCTTCATGCTGTTGTGCAGTCCTAGATGATTAGAACTTGCACAATTTAGATATATATGAATGAAACATATAATAGACAGATGCATGAAACAAAGGTGTACTGCTGGGGAAAAGATCAGTTCACAGATGGCCATAGAAAGTCTAGATGGTACTTGTGGTCAGCTGCATGAGTAAAAGGGATGAGTCACATTGTTCTACTCATGTGCAGATTTGCATGACTAGCCGCAGACTCGCTATACTACAAGTTCTATGTGTGAAGAGGGGAGGTGCGGGAGCACAAGATTCACATCCAGGGCACACTGAATGTGTGAATACACATAGGCGCATACACATAGATGAGATGCCATTTACACAATGAATGACTGCATCCATGGCTTTTAAAAGTAAACAGCAGGCACATCTGGCCAAATTCAGACTAAGACTCAGGACAGGATGGATTGACCACCTTGGTCCCTGCTGCAGTCCCAGTCCAGATGGGACTACTTGCTGCTGCTCTCATCGTGGGAAGAAAAGCCGCCGAGATGAGACTTTCCTTCTGAAGCACCCAGCAGGTGTGGGACACCTTCTCAGAAGGCAAACGATGGGAGCATCTTACCTTGCCTGCCATGGTTCTGACCAGCCCTCCTGTGAAGGGTATTTGCTACTCTTTGTGCCATTGCTAATTTTGGAAATGACACCTTGTCTTGTTTGACTAAAGCCCCTGAGAAACGGTGCCTGAATTGAGTATACTTGGATTTATCACCTAAGCTAGGCTGGTCATGCAATTCTTTATACCCAACTCTTGGATTTCTGATTAATGGGAAACAGCTGGCTGGCCTGTGAGAACCTGCAAATCTCGGGCAGCTATGAGAGATGCAATTAACATGTGTCTGATCCACCTTAGAACTCCATTTTCCCTCCACAAGCTCTCCTCAGGCCACATGACTGTGAGCAGGGCAGCACTGCTAAAAGTCTCATGGGCTCTGGGTAAAGAACATCCGGTTGAACTTTAGCTCTCCGGGTCTTCCCCCAGTTCTGTCTTTGAAATGGCCTGGGCTGTGCACAAGTCACCATGCTTGTGATGGGACGGGAGTTTCCCCAAACTTTTTTCATTGGGGGGTGAACAGGAAGCAATTCCCTTCCATGCAATCAGATTTACAGAAGCATTTTAATATTCCTCTATATATGGGACACTAGCATATTGGAAAGCAGCTAAATGATGGTAGGTTTCTATGGGCAAGAATGCATGTGTATCCATGCCAGATAGACATGGGGGGCTTCAGCATGCAATGTGGGAGCAGGGAAGAGCTGAGTGGGCTCCCATGATTTGCTCCACTCCCTTCAGTAGCTCCACTTCTTGACACTTCTTCATGCAGTGGATTAGTAATGCCAGATTGTCCTAGGTAAAATTTGGTTTACTCCATTAATTATATTGGAGTTCCTACATTTAGTTTTATCGCACTGCTGTTAATGGGGTGGGATTGGAAGGAAAGAGGTGCATCAAAGGGAAGATTCTCCGACTCTCCTCCTTAGGGGCAAGGAGACATGAAGCAGTGAGATGCTTTCCTTCTATGAATATCCTTCCATTCTCTTATCATAAAACTGAAAACGTTAAATACAACTACCTCACTGAGTTGTGGAGTGCAACTTCAGGTGGTGGTTGTTACATTTATGAACTGCCCCATTAGCTCATAGGGCTCTCTGGGCAGTGTACTATATAAAAAAGAATAAAAATATTTACATTAACATAGAGAACATTTTTCTACAATGGTTGCAGTGTGAACATCTGTATAAATCAAGTGGCAAGGGAAGGTTCCTCTTTTCTTACCTTAATGTTGACCTGAGGTTTATGTCTCTTAGCCAAATCAATAATGTTCACACCATTGTAATAAAGATTTTCAAAACATCCATGAAAGTTTTTCCATGGTAATATCCCTGATTTTGCAGGCACTGGAATCCCTCCAAAGCTGAGCTTAGAAAGAGAAGAAAAATCAATAACAGTATTAAATAATTTTCTGACAATCTGCTTGCAGTGTTGATGATAACAATTTGAACAATAATGTAACAGCAGCACTCCTGGATTGGTCAATTTAGAATCAACCTATTTTTAAAAAATCTGTTTTCAATTGTCAAATGCAGCAAATGTAGGCTAAAATGTGTACCACAGGAAGAGCACAGTAAACAAGAAGCTGAAGAAACATCTTTTAAATTCTGCCCTTGTTTTCTGATAGTGGTAGTTCTGCTCCACTATTTCAAGAAAGGAAAATATTCCTTTGAATTTAAATAACGAAATAGTGCAATCTTGAGAATCATTACTCAGAAGAATGCTCCATCATGTTAAATAGGCCTTACTCTTGAGTTTCCTCAACCTTTCTTTTCATTTCCCATATTACATAATTACATGTTTTCCTTAAAAAAATGAATGCATGTCATTTATGTGGCTAATGCAACTACTTACCTGAACTTTACAAAGTTACAAAACAGCTTTGCAGATGTTTTACAAATAGATTTACTGCTATTCTTTATTTTGTCTAACCTGGTAATTGACACCCTGTTCACTATGTTGCTTGGGTTAGGTACTGTACATTGAGCACTTGCAATCACAGACTTTCTTATGTACTTTAACAGAGCAAGCAGTTTTGTGGTTGCAAAGGTAGCTGCCCAGTCTTTTGACCTTCTCACAAGTGGACTATCTCTGTTTGTACACCAAAGCCCCCATGTTTAATTTGGGTGTATAATCTGGGTATGACTCCATGAATCATCAAGACGAAGGGTTGTATTCAGTGTTAATTCTACTCTGATTAAGTCTGTTAAAATGAATATACTTCAGTTAGGCCACCATGGGACAAAAAACAAAACTCCCAAACCCTTATCTTGATAGGATTCAGGATAAAGGTCTTTGTGCACTAGCACAATTAACAGCTTGTCCTCTCTCACAAGCACAAGGGTACTACTTCACCCTGGTCTACAGAAGGTATGAGCAACACAGAGGCCATGGGCTGCAGGACCTTCAGTACAGCCCCCACTGTCCCCCGCCACTGAAATTTGCTAGTGCAACGACAAGTGATGGCCAGACAGTTGGTTTGTCACCCAGTTTCTGCGGCTGGGCACCATGGAAGCTGAAAAGGGCCAAACTGAGTGTGTTAAACCAGCAATTTCTTGTTGTTTCCAGCCTCCATTGTGTGATGGTGCTGAATTAAGTGGAAAACTGAGGGTAATTTTGCTGCTGTCATACTGCTGAAGTTTGGTAGCAAGGGAGCAGTGGGGGGGGGGGCGGCCTAGAGACAGGAAGATGGACATCTGCACTGCATCTTTAAATTGATTCTTTGAAGAAAAGAACAGAGCATCTCTTCTCTGTTCCTTCCCCAGGCTTCTCATCTGACCTTTCTCCTGCCAGTTGCAAGAAGCACCATTCGGTAGAATATTAGCAGATGGAGAAGGGATGCAGATGTGATGACTAACAAATGAAGCTGCATTTCCTTTCATTCCATTGAGGAATGTAATAGTATATCACATCTGCATCTTTACCTTAACACCAGTGCAAAGTGCATTTCATACTCCTGCTGAACCTGCTCTTCCTCCACATCCTGATTCTGGCAGGATACTGCTTTGTATCACAGGACTGTAAACTTTGCAGTTACAGAAGGAATATTTGGCTGATTTATATCAGAGAAGAACAAGCAGAGATTTGCACACGTACAAGCCATGAATTAGTAAAAGTCGGCAGAAAAATATGATATATAATCAATACTGCACAATCTTCAACAAGTCAGAGTGCTAAAATACTCCCCTAAGCAGCTCATGGTCTCCTTCAATTGAATAACTGCATTTATATAACAAAGATAATAAATCTAATAAAGGAAAGATAATTTTCACACCTCATAATCAAGGTCCAAATAATTGAATTCTCCTTTTGCATGAAAATGGTGAGTGTGTTTATCAACTGTAAAGTTCACTTGGTTATTGAAATGTTCAATGAGGACTGAGTGCCAGTGCTGATCATCCAAAAGGCTACCCAGAGTGATATTAATCTGGGCATCAGCAGAATATATTTTAGCATCACCTTCAGGAGGAGAAAAACAAACTGTTAGGTCTGTTGCGATAAACAAGGTAGACAGTGAACTTTAATTCCAAGGAAGATTATTAAGTAAACGTGCAATATGATTGCACACTTAGTTACCTATGTTGATGAGTAAGGAAAGCTTTCCATTAGCTAATGTCAATGTGATATGATCTCCATTTTGTCCTTCTCTGTGTAGCAGAATCCCATCTCTTTGGATTGTTTTAAACTTCAGAGAAATTATGTCCTTCAGGGCTGTTGTGGATTTGGGATTAAATCTGTAGAGCAGGAAACTTTTTCCATCAAAATCTGCAACCTCAGATCCTGGACAGAACACAAGTAAAGGCCCTCTTATAACACATAAGCAAGAAAAGAACTATCCCATATGTTATCCTTGTGTATTAGTTAGTAGCAGATTAATACTACACATGAGATAATAGTTCTTGAAAGAAACATTTATGAAATAAATGAAGATGCAGCAGACAGCCAATAATATATGAAGTCATTTTTCAACTCATTGAGTATCTTCTTCCACGTCAATGGAAAACTATCTATAAACTGGCTACCTGAAGAAGCGCTTATGTCCATATACACCCGCCCGCCCCCTGAGATCTGCGGGAGAGGCCCTTCTCCGGGAACCCTCCGTGAAGGAAATTAGGAGGAGGAGGGCTTTCTCTGAGGTGGTGCCCAATCTATGGAATGCACTCCCCAGAGAGGTCCGTCTGACGCCGTCGTTATTTGTTTTTCGGTGCCAGGCAAAGACCTTTTTATTCAAACGTCATTTTAATTGCTAATATAATTTCTTATTTTATTCTGTAGCCAGGACAACTTATTTTATTTTATATTGTTAATTCGTTTTATATTTTTAGTGTATTATATTTTAATTGATGTTTTGTGAGCCGCCTCGAGGCTTCGGCGAATGGGGCAGCATAGAAATTTCCTAAATAAATAAATAAATAAATATTTGATCAAGAATATTGCTCCACATGTTGGGCACAATGTGATGAAGAAATTATTTTTGTGCAAGCCTATTGGAATGAGTCCATGATCTCTAGTGGATTATGAGCAGGGGGAGTTGTGTTGTGTATAGCATTTTAAAACAACCATTAATATGCAGCCGACTATCCCTTTAATTAGCATTGCCAAAGGGTGTTAGTATGAGGCCAATTTGAATAGTTCCCTGTTCTGTTCTATGAAATGACTAAGTCTACCATCCTATCCCCACTTACCACGGGGTTCAGTGAGACTTACTTCAAAGTAACATGTCTCAATCTGTATTACAAGTTTTACTTTGGAAAGGACACTCCAAAGGAGGACACTGGAACTTCTGTACATCCATCACTTTTTTTTTAATCAGTGTGTTTCCACTAGGAAAATTAGAGCATTAAATCTAGGGCATCATGTGGGTAACAAATTACACATTCAATCTATTTTAAACATGTTGACACCTATCCTTGACACAGGGCAGCAGATAAATAAAAATCAATTAATGAATTCATTAGCATTGATAGTTCCTTCTAATCCCTATAGTATTTCTCCTATCCTATCCCCTAATCTGCCATAGATTTCTGAACCTTGCTCTCCTTGGTTTTTCTATTTTCTGACCTTCAGAAAACAGCATCCAACTGTGAATTTAGGGTATGAAAAGAACAGCAACGAAGAATCACATCTGTGTTGCAGACAAATGTAAGAGTGTCCTCTTACTCCTAACTGACATTAGGGCTTTTATTATAAAACACTTTTTATCTCAGATAAATGGTGGTGATACATTACAGATGAAATGGCATTTATATGTAACTGTCGACACAGTGAACAGATGAGGAAATTAAAGCCTGCTCTTTGCGCCAATATAAATTAATATTCATGGTGGCTTTGTGCCTCACGCAAGGTGAAGCTCCCCCATTTCCCACTACTTACCTGCCGCTCTCTGTCCCACAGGACAAGCCCATTCTCAAGAGCGAACAGCAGGCACAAGAGAGCGCCCAGGGTGGGAAGAACTGATAAAATGGTCGGTGTCCCCTTGCACAAGGGAGAGCAGGTTTGGGGAGACACACAGAAGGCTGGAGGGGGCTGGCAAAATGAGGGTCCCACCTGTACAAGTGAATGGCTTGGTTCCAGACTCAGGCATACCTAGAGTAAACCCACTGATACAAATGGATTAAGTGGGTCATGGCAAGCATGCTGTCACTGCGGAAGTCTGGGCATTCAGGTTCAGGGCCAGATCCAGGTATACACCCAAAGGGCAAGCAGAAATGGGTGCAAGAGAAATCTTTTAGATGGCCAGGATTCTCTGGACACCACCTCACACCTTGTCCCATGACTGATGCTCATTTGCATTTGCAATTCTCACTTGCTGTGAAAAACTCCATAAGTCAAGCACTGATCAAACATGAAATTTGCACAACTTCCCCATGCTTGATTGGCACAATGTTTCTTCTTACATGTATGCAAAATTCCTAAATTTCTTCCATAGACTAAAAAGGGGCTGATTATGTCTATCAGGAAATGTGTGCAAATGACTGAATTTGCATAAACTTAGGAAACTTGCACAAACCAATTATGAACACATGATTGGCAGTTCACAAACACTTTTTGAGCATGTGCTCACACTTGTGTTCTGAAGTGGCAAACAAGGCAAGCTCCTTTGCTTTGTGAGCAAAAACAAAATTCTCATACACTTTTAAGAGCAAGCCCAAGTTTTAGGAACAGTGTTCTCCAGCACAAGTTGAATTCCTTCTCCAGATCTGCCTTTCAACCAACTCAGGCTTAGATCCCACTGTCTGTTCTGTATTCCATTTCAGTATTGTGTGTCAATGATTTCCTATAAAAAGATCCATGACTCTGATCAAGCAAACATCTCTCCTGGTCCAGTCCTGTCCATCTGAAATTCTCCTCTTGCTCTGACATTGTCCTGAGATTTCATTTCACAGCAGTGCCATGGGAGAGCTGCTATGCCATGCTATTCCTGGACCTTGCTGGAGGATTTGATTTTGTCTGGATAAATTCAGTGTGAGGCATGCTTGTTCAGTAGATTTTCTTCCTTCTCCTAAAGCAAACCTTCATGCAATGAAGATAGTGCATAGGCAGAACCCAGCCTGGTTTCCTGGTTGCTTTGTAAGAGGAAGGAAGGAAGGAAGGAAGGAAGGAAGGAAGGAAGGAAGGAAGGGGAGAAATTCTCCTGCTTCTCATTGCTGTCTGCTAAACTTTTGCAGGGGATCAGACAAATGAGGGTGACCAGGCATGGGGAGAAAAGGTGGTGGCCAGGCAGCAGAGAAACAGCAGGGACTGGGTAAAAGAGCAGCCAGCCTGGGGCCACTCAAGTAAGTCAGCAGTACTGACCAAATCCTCTGCTTTGATTCTGATATATGTTGCATGCAGACTATTTGCTTAAAAAGCATGCTTAATTGTCAGCATAATGAAACCTTAAACAGAGAATTGGTAGGATTTATTTTGCGGGCCAAACATCCTGCTCGTCACCTTGTCAGGCAAAGACTAGTGATTTTCTGGGGGCAAATACATTTTGTCCCCAGAAAAGATGTGCAAAAGGATACATTTAAACCTGACATCATGCTGGAAATTCTGTCATGTGACCAGTGTTAATGTTGCCACAGAAGCTATGCTGTTTTATTCAAGACACATGCCAATGATTTAGATGGCACAATTGACCTGTATGAAAATTTCAAGATAAAGGGCAGGACAGGGAAGTAAGCTTAAAATACAAAGCTCAAGTACTAAAATCTATTTATAATAGTCAAAGGTCAATCACTATAGCAAATGGAACTTGCTTAGAATGTATTTTTAGCCGTCCTTTATGTCATTCAGTTCATTAAAGGGAAAGAATATGTCACTTACTGTAAGCACAGCCATAGACCTCAATCCGCATCCCAATTCTGCCATTGTGGTTCCAATCCAAAGGGACAAACCTCAGGAATCTTGCTTTAATGGAATGTTGGAGTTTATATGATACCACACTGTCTGCATTGGTGTTTCCTGAAAAAGCCTAAAAGGAACAATTTAAAAGTCATGCACAGATGTATGGCTTTATTTGTCCTTTGCATTGAAAAATTTTCTTTTCCTTATGAATGAAAGTTCTGGACTACAAACTCAGTATTGTGTGGATGCTCTTTTTTACCATGACACATGTAGACATAACTCTTGACTTAAACCTATAGACCATGGGCAGGCAATTATCTGTCACCCTTTGGATATTTTGGTCTATCTTCCCTAGTCAACAGAGCCAATGGTGAGGGGTAATGGAGTTTTGTAAGCCAAAACATCTGGAGGGCAAAGAGTTGTGCACCCCAACATGAGCTGTGATTTGTGTGGTTGGGGATAAACCATAGTGAACTTCATGCTTATGTGCTCTTCCACCCCACCCTTCTGCTCATTTAAGATGGGAGAGGGTAAAAAAATATCATTTTTGCTGTAAGAACAAAGGTCACTTCTATATTATATCAAAAGGAGGTGTGTATTTGTTGCCACCTAGATTAATTCACACATTAGGACCAGAAACTATGGCTTGACTCTCGTTTGCTTAAAGCAAACCACTGTTTCCTATTCATATGTAACAGAGAACTGTAGTTTGTCCTGGAAGTGAAAGTACAGCACCTTCATTCTTCTCCACACATGAAAAAGGAAGCAAAAGGAGCAGGGCATTGTAAATCTGAGTCCATACTAAAGGTGTGTGAGAATTCACCTTTGAAGTGAAATCTCAGTGGACTTTACCAGTTCATCCCTGACAGACTTGGTTCCACTTCCCCCTGCTGGCATCAATTTGAACAGTACTGAGTCAATCCAATATAGGGATGTAGGATTTTTGTGGCAATTTGCACAAAAGGACTTTTCCAATCCCCACAAGTCTTTGCGCTAGCACAAAGTGATTCAATGTATATTTATATTTATATTTACGGGCTTTCCACAAGTGCACACTTGTACAAGCCTACTCATCTGTTATGGGGTCCTGGAGAGGCCTAGTTTGCTTGAAAATATCCTGGCCACTTTCATCTACTCCACATTCTACTTTATCTAGCTCAGGAAATCCATATTTTGTACTTCTCAATATCCTCCACTTCTCCCATTTCCAGACTGCTGCCTCTCCTGTATCAGATCGCTATGGGATGTAAAGCTCTTAGTTTCTGAGCACGTTCTCTGTCAGTGATACAGACTGACACTGGGGATCCCCAACATGTACAATTTGACACAAAGGGAAGAACTGGAGGGGGGTTATTTAGTTCTGCTTGAAAGGCATGCATTTAACATGCACAAGAACCCCTTTCCAAACATTTCTGGAATTGGAAAAAGCAAATCTGGTACAACCCTTGCTTCTTTATTGATTCAACATTATTTATTTGTTCAACTTATATTCTGCATTCATTAGTCCAAGGACTCTCAAAGCAGATTACAAAGAAGCAATAAAAACAGCATTATACAATAAAAGCATATCAATATACAATAACAATATACAATAGAATATACAATAAGGAGTTAAGAAACCAGGTATGAATAAGTTAAAATAGCATGTTAAAACTAAAGAACAATATACAACTATATATGTTAAAACTGAACAGTACACAATCAATCAAGTATTAAAATAAAGCATTATATATTAGAAGCATTATACTGGAACTTCAACAGATACACATTTCCAGTCAGTCAAATGCTCTTTGAAACTACATCCAACCTTTACACTGAATCACCCATAGATATGGGCTCTATCTCATCAATATACTGAATACTGAATCAGTGCCTGAAACTGTGAGGGACTGAAGGTGAATAACTGAAATTCAATCCAGGTAAGATATTCTCTGCTCTTGAGTTTTACTGAAGTTTTATGCTGCATCTTATTTTATAGTTTCATTTTGTTGCTTCCTGCATTTGCAGCTTCACAGCCTGGAAAGACTCTTTGATCTGCCACTGCTTCTAGAGGTTTCAACAATAGTGGCAACTGGGAATGGGATGTCAGAACAGAACACGCAGAACACACCACAGGGGCCCATCGGGGCTTCAGTGGCACAGAATTCCCAGAATTACACACCCCTGGGCAATGCTGCAGTTTAACATCACAATTGCTTAACATATTTCTGATATAAACCAGGAAGAATGAATTTTGCATCTGATTATCTGCATGTGTTTCAATTGTATGGATTTAACTTTTTACAATTGCACTTATTTGTTTATTTAAATTACGTGGCTATTTTTCACTATAAGAGGTGACACCATCAGCTCCTTGCCGCCTATGAATTGTACCGAAAAATACAAGAATGTGAGAAATGATAAAAGGGACATTGGAGCAACTTTTCAGTAGATTGGCACTACATTAGGACTGTGGATACTGTCAACTTATATTTCATGATATTTCAATAACTGAAAAAAACACACACAAATAGTACTACTAAGGTTTGGGTAACACACCATTTATGCTGCCTTTTAATAATGCTGATACCTAGAGATACATTTTCTTTTTAGAGTTCAGCTACACATTACATTCATCATGACACATTAGCCATTCTGTTGTCCAAAGGAAAGCACAAGCACAGAAACCAGTCCCATATGGTTACCTGAAGGAGCGCTTACGTCCATATATGTCCGCCCGCCCCTTGAGATCAGCGGGAGAGGCCCTTCTCCAGGAACCCTCCGGGAAGGAAATTAGGAGGATAGGTACTCGGAGGAGGGCTTTCTCTGCGGTGGCGCCCAAGCTATGGAATGCGCTCCCCAGAGAGGTCTGCCTGGCGCTGTCGTTATTTGTTTTTCGGCGCCAGGCAAAGACCTTTTTATTCAAATGTTATTTTAATTGTTAAAATTATTTATTCATTTTATTCTTTGGCCAGGGTGACTTAATTTATATTGTTAATTTATATTGTTTTATAGAATTCTATTTATTTATGGTTTGTGAGCCGCCCCAAAGCTTCGGTGAATGGGGCGGCATAGAAGACCCCTAAATAAATAAATAAATATGAAGGAAATATGGAAGCTTGTTTGCGTGGGAATTGTATGCATATCCAGGTCCAGAGCAGGAAGGGAATTCTCAGTTTTTGTTCTATTTTATTTATGACATTGATATGCTTCTCCAAACATTCAACATGGAACAGAATCCTCATCAGTGACAGAATTAAATGCAATGTTTAAAACGGAGAGGCCCAGGCTACCTGAGTTATATAGAAGGTACAGGTGAACAGGAAGTGCTTCACCTGGCACAGAAATGACCACAAGAGGAGCATCAGGGAAAACTTGTCTCATAGCTGGGTGCCACCACCAGAAAGGTCATCCTCCAGGTTGTGAATGTATTTCCACTTCCCCCAGTATTTCAAGTTTTTCCTTTTAACATTAAAATGCAAATTATTTTCATATGACATTAATAAATGTCCTACCATTTCAATTTAAAAATAAAATACTGCGATCCATTTTCTATCCATGGAAATTAGTTCCCTCATAAAACTGAACAGATTAATATTGGAGTATCATACTCCAGTGTTATATGTTTCACATATTTGGAGTGTTACGTTTCCTGGAATAAATGAATGCATATTAAATACCAGAAGCTTGGCAAGAAGTATAGCCCATCATTTGAAAATATCAGGATCTATAATTTAATTTATCCAATATGTTTTGAATGCCAAGGACATTTACAACCAGAGCATGTGATTGATTGTTTAAAATCTCCAAAATCAGGATATTTTGTGAATGAATGTGGTGCTTACATTTCACATCTGATCTTTATTAAGCAATGAAAACATGCTGTATAATGCTAATTGCTTAAGTGCTTATAGGATTCCCCCAGCTTTCCCTCCTCTTTTGAGACACTAAATATTACTAAAGAGTTGCTTAAGAGACTCATTTGGTTTAACCTTTAATGCTGGTAAGTCTAGCAATTCTAAATGCTTAAAAGCATTCCATGCCAAGCCTTATAATCATATCATTACTCTATTTGAAGACCAAAACAAACACAAGAGAGCTGTCACAGTCCTTCTAGTCTTCTCATCTCTAATAGTCCTGATTTGTAGACTACACGTATCTGCCACTGACTAATTAGTCTGCCATAATATTCTGGCTCCAGAAGTCAACATACTGTCAGATAAGTGGTTCTATTCTCTCTCAATCATGTGTGTGCATGTGGTAAAAATTAAAGATTGGATTTCCAATTTATAATGTCATTTCTTGCTTAATAATAGATCAGCCTATGTAGCCTTATTTAAAAACACAGATGTAGTTTTCTTAGTCCTCCAGCCCAGTGGTTTTCAACCTTTCCAAAGCTGGGGACCGGCAAAAACAAGAAAACCACCTCAGGGACCACTGAGGCACAAACAAAAAGCACCAAACACATATCACGGTATTCTGTGCATTAGTTTCTAAACATAATACCAAAAAAAATGTCCATTCTCCCAAACAACCAGAAACCAAGCGACAAAGAATGCCAACAAAAGAACAAAATACCGAAACTGGTGCAGTGTGGCTCCCAGCCTGCTTCCACCGAGCCACCCTGCCATTGTGATGCCAACTGAGGAAGAGATGGTATTGCACAGTCAGCCCCTGCACCAGTCCATGGCGAGCAGCATGCGCCCTCCCCAGACCAGCAGGGAAGCTTCCATGAACTGGTGCCATTTGGTGGACCGGCTGCTGAAAACTGCTGATCCAGCCTATTGGCAATGTCATAGTCTGTTTCCAGACAGCTATAGCTTCTTTGAAATGTTCTGGAAGGGAGAGCTAGAACTTGGTGTCCACCTCATTTTGGCTGTATCAACTCCAATGCTCTGCTTAAGCTTTCCCAGCAGTTTCAAAAAGTTGTTAGACAACTGAGACATGACAGAACTTGGCAAAAGTCCATCAGTCCACAGCTGGGGCCATGTGCAGGAGTCTCCAGCACCTGCCTTCTCAAATGATCGCTCCAAGAAAGGATGCGGCCGCAGTAAAATAGTGCCTCTAAGTTCTATCCCAGCCAGAAGGATACTACAATTGATGGCACTGAAAGCCCCTGAGAAGCCTGGCAAAATGGAAAGGTTTGCA